ATTGTTACCACCTTCTAAAGTTGGCTGTATTAAATGACTTTACAGTGAAGAGGGATACTTAACTAATTTTTCCTCATTCTCATTCTTGTATTCTCCAATTTAGGAAGCTTTTATAAAAGCATTTCTTCCAGATGAATACTGAATGGATGGGAGGGGTAATAATAGTAGAAGACAATATCCATAAAGCTGAGGTAGTGGTAGTGGAGTCAGACCTAAAAGCAGTAAATTTACTGTCTCCTTGAAATTTCCCTTCTTGGCTTCTCAATACCATTCTTAGTTTTCTTTTTTTTTTTTTGGTTTTTCGAGACAGGGTTTCTCTGTGGCTTTGGAGGCTGTCCTGGAACTCGCTCTGTAGACCAGGCTGGTCTCGAACTCACAGAGATCCGCCTGCCTCTGCCTCCCGAGTGCTGGGATTAAAGGCGTGCGCCACCAACGCCCGGCCCCATTCTTAGTTTTCATTCTTAACTTCTTTTCTTATGCCATGGTATGTTAATTAAGCAAACATCAACAAACTATGAAACGCCTCATCCTCTGAAGGACTCTAGGAAAATAATGATGAACTAAGACATTCACAGATCTTGATTCTTGTGGAATTAGCATCCGGGAGCTGGATTTGGTGGTACATGTTGGTAATCTCGGTCCTAGGAAGCAGAGGTAGGAAGATCTTGAATTTGAAACTAGCCAGATACATAGAGACACTGTATACAGAGAAAGACAGATGATGCAGACCACATTAGTAAACCATGTATGTATGTATGTATGTATGTATGTATGTATGTATGTATGTGACACATTCTGTGCTCTTAAGGAACTTTTAGTAAAGGAAAGGAGGCAGCCAGGTGGTAACAGGTGGGCAGAATGGAATGGAGTCTGGTCAGAGGTGACTTTGTTTGGGTGATATCTTTTAAATAGACAACAATAAATGAGGGCTGTACATTCAAAAGAAAACTTTTTGAGTGGGTCCCCCCCCCCTTCAGTCATTAATCAAGAAAATGCCCTGTAGACTCTACAGGCCAGTCTGATGGAAACATTTCCTTGATTTATTCCCTGATGACTCTAGCTTGTGTCAAGTTGACAGAAACCTAACCAGCACACTGTCTAACAGTTTGTTGATATTTGCTGGATTGTTATATTGTAGTATTAGAAAATAGATGAAAACCCTGGTGTGTGCCTGCTAGAAGTAGAAATAAGAGGGCCACTTCTGAAAAAGAAACTGTCGAAGGCCGGAAGTTGGGGTGGTTGAAATAGGGCAGTGTCAGTAGAAGTATAGAAAAGCTGAGAACACATTGATAGAGATAGATGCTTCTGAAGGATCAAGATGAAACATACTAGAACTTAGGTTCCAACTTGAAGGCTATGTATCAAAGGGATATTTATAGCCATAGGGATAGATATAATCACCTAAAAAGGGGATAGAAAACTTGAATCCGTTAAGATTTTGGGGAGAGGGAACAAGCCCTTGGGAGATAATGATTTGTCCAAAAGGACAACTCTTTATTACTATTTTATCTTTATTTGTATGGGTATTTTGCCTAAGTGTGTGTCTGTGCAATACATGTGCACAGACAGATGTATACCTGGTGCCTGCACAGGGTATCAGATTCCCTGTAGCTGGAGTTATGGATAGTTGCAAGCCGCCATGTGAGTGCTGGGAATTGAACTCAGGTCCTCTGGAAGAACAGTCAGTGCTCTTAGTTGCTGACCCATCCCTCTAACTTTCCCACATCTTGGGGTCATGCATGACTCCCCTCTGTGCCATTTACTTTTGCTTGCTCACCTCCTTATCCTATTCTCACCCTACATCTAATCCATTAGGAAGCTATGCTGGCGCTCTCTACCCCAGAGTATCCAAAACGTGCCGCTCATCATTCTGTGCTTCCAGAGGACATAAGTTCAATTCCCAGCAACCACATGGTGACTCATACCTATCTGTAACATTATCTGATTTGGTCTTCTGGTGTTCGTGAAGACAGTTCACTCATATATATTAAATAAATATTTAAAAAAGAATACATGACCCACACAGAGCAACCCTGTCTCTTAACAAACAAACGACCAAAAGCAACTTGAGGGAAAGGATTTCTTTTGTTAACACTTTCACATCACAGTTCATCACTGAAGAAAGTCAGGGCAGAAATTCAAACAGGGCAAGAACCTGGAGGCAGGGACTGATGCATTGGCCAAGAAGTGTGCTTTACTGGCTTGCTCGGCTTGCCCAAGGGTGTGGCACTGCTTATAATGGTGTGGACTCTCCCCCCATCAGTCATTAAGAAAAAGCCCTACAGATGCCTACAGCTGGATCTTATGAAGGCAATTTGGGTTTTTTTGTTTGTTTGTTTTTTATTTTTTTGAGACAGGGTTTCTCTGTGTAGCTTTAGAGCCTTTCCTGGAACTTGCTCTGTAGACCCGGCTAGCCTCGAACTCACAGAGATCCACTTGCCTCTGCCTCCTTAGTGATGAGATTAAAGGCAAGCACCACTACCGCCTGGCTAGTTTCTCAGTTGAAGTTTCTTCTTTTCACATGATTTTAGCTTATGTCAAGTTGACAAAAAGCTAGCCAGCACACTCACAAGCCCTGTTTTATTCTGTGTATCTCATTTGAGAATCTGTTTACCACATTAGCTACTGGAGTCTATCATTTTCTTTTCTTTCTCTCTTCAGTTGTTTATAGTGTCATATGCAGTAGTAAAAAGATTGAGAAATCACCCAGCTGTCTAGATCAGGATGAAACTAGTTAAAATTTGATATTCCAGTTAAGAAATTGTTTACAAGTAGAAGTTAATTTCTAGGATATTACTAGATTTTAAATAAAAAGGAAAAATAATATTCAAATTGCACCTTTAAAAATATTGGTGGGGATACCAGTGGAAACGTGTACAAAAGCAATAATCAAAAAGAAATATATGGGAGGCTGGGAATAGGAACTGAAGGAACGTTTCAGTGTATGACTGCAACCTGGTTTAACAACTAACCCTGCCTTACTGAGGGCACTCAGCACACACCACATGGATTGGAACAGTAACCACGTCAAATCTTGACTTAGCTATCTTCTGTTTCTATAGTCCTTCCATTTATCTACATACCACCAAAGTGATCTTCCTAAACAAAACTTCAGGGCTGTTGATGTGCTATAGTATTATTCAGACTTCCTCATGTGGCTCAGAAGAATATTTTCTTTTGAGTCTTTGTGAAAGAGATGAAGGCTACTCAGAGTGCCAGCTATGTGCCAGCATGGATATTTGACAGTAACCATGGCATAAATTTATTGGGATCATAAACAATATTTCACGGAAATCTGCAATCTAAACAATACAAGCCTATAGGACAGAGTTGGAATACTGCCTTAGAAGTCATATAGGTCTTTCCAAACTGCCCTCTGTTTACATATCCTGTCTGTCATAAAGGATTTGTTCTTTTATCTCTAAAAACAGATACATGGTTTCTTCCTGCACTGCAGTGTGTTTTCCTCTAATCTTGTCCTTGTTGAGAGAGAGAATCTAGCTACAAAGAAAAGGCTAGGACTGTGGCTTAGTTGATAGAGTGTTTACTAGCATTCAGGAAGTTCTGGGTTTGACTCCCAGCACCACACAAACAGGGCATAGTGGTGTACTTGGGAGAAGCAAGAGGATCAAAAGTTAAAGGTCATACTTGGCTACATAGCAAATTGACAGTAGCCTGAACTATAAAAACCAAAGGGGTGGGGACAGGCTAGGCAGATACTCAGTGGTAGAAGCTCTTACCGTGCAAGCATGAGGGCCAAAGTGTAGATGCCAGCACTTGTGTTTAAAAAGAAAAATAAGCAGGCTTTGATAATCTCAGTGCTGTGGGGGAGCAGAGGCGGCTCGCTGGTTACTAGCTCAGCTCCATGGTCAGGGACAGACCCTGCCTCAGGGAAATAAGGAAGGGAGTGATAAAGCAGGACATTCAGTTTCCTGACCTCCGTGCATGGCACGTGTGTATGTGCACACACACACACACACACACACACACACACACACACAGCACATGATAGTCATCTTTCTTGCCAAAAGATACTGAAAAACCCGTTCCACCCCCGCAATTCCACCCCCCCCCACACCCAGCTGACTTCCTCAGCACTGTTTCTCCTTCGTTTGCAGTCAGTTTCTTGTCTACCTGGAAAGATCATGCCATTCTTTTGATCTACATCCATCTTAAAAGCATTATATTCAGACTTAATGATTCTAAGAGTGTTATGGAAGATTTCAGAAGACTGAGTAGTTGAGTTTATAAGAGTTGCTGTGGTTATTGTGTCTCTTCATGGCAATAAAAGTGCAATCTAGCCTGGTCCTCAAAGCAGTTCCAGGACAGGCTCCAAAGCTACACAGAAAAAACCTGTCTCACGGGAAGAAGAAGAAGAAGAGGAGGAGGAGGAAGGAAAGAAGGAAGGAAGCTAAGACGCCAAACTTTTTGCTTCTTTTTGCTTCTCTTGCTTTGGGGGTGCTTGAGCAGACTGGCACCTATATAAAGAAGGACCCCTACCTAGACGTTGTTTGTGTTGTGCAATACCAAAATGAAGACATACATTTCACCTCTTTCTTATCAACAAGCTGTAAGCTGGTCTTATTTTGTTGTTACTTCATGGTTTCCCACTTCTTTATTAGGTGCTCATTTACATACTTAAGTTACATTCATGGAGTGTCTGAAAATGTGAGCATACTAAATATGCAGAATTTGGTATTTACAATTAGAAATGTCATTATGTAGTTGGAATCATTTTGGGGTTTGAGTTTTGGCCGCACTTGGGATCACCTCTGAAGTTAGTAGCAGCAGCAACAAGGCTCTCTACTACTAAGGATGTGGGCTACTTAGCAGAGGGAGAGACCTTGGGCTTAAACATTAAGATTAGCTATATATATTTCAGGCCATCTTTTCAATAGTTCTTGAATTGTTGGTCTTGTTATCTTTCATCCTAAAACATTTTAGCATGACTTAAGATTTTCCTTGGTAAATTTAAATGTGGACAATTGTTTTCTGTCTAGGTTTTGGACGGAAGGATGTAGTTGAGTATCTGCTTCAGAGCGGTGCAAATGTGCAAGCACGTGACGATGGGGGTCTTATTCCTCTTCATAATGCATGCTCTTTTGGTCATGCCGAAGTAGTCAGTCTCCTTTTGCAACATGGTGCAGACCCAAATGCTCGAGATAATTGGAATTATACCCCTCTCCATGAAGCTGCAATTAAAGGAAAAATTGATGTTTGCATTGGTAAGCCTGAGTTTCTTTTTCAGAGTTTTCTAGAAATTGTAACTATTCTAAATCTAATCTGTTAGTGTTGTCTTTCTACAGGGCAGAGTTTGCATTTAAATCTGTTCATGATTTAATCTAACTTTTTTTCTCCAGCCTTCAATCTAACTATTCTTTATTGATTGTCTTTTCTTAAAATCTTAAAGTTATTTGGGAAATAGAAAAAAAACCATTCTCTAGAAACTTACATTCTGAAGAGGCAGAAGCAGGTGGATCCCTGAGTTCAGTGCCAGTCTGGTCTAAAGAGCAAGTTCCAGGATGGCCAGAGAAACACTGTCTCTAAAAATCAAAACAAACGAATCAAATAAAGACATAGAGATGAACATTGAGTGTTAGAGGATAGTGGCTAATGGCATAAGTTAATATGCTGGTTAGGCTCATCACCTAGATACCAAGTAGAGTCACCTGGCAAGACTGAACCCCTATTGAGGATTTCCTCCATTAAATTGACCTGTGGCCACTTTCTTAGTTCTTGTTTGATGTAGGCGGACTCGGCCTACTTTGGGCAGTGTCTTCCTAGGCAGGTGAGCCTGAACTGTGTAAGCAAAGTAGCTAAGCAAAAAAATAAGCCGTGTTCTTCCATTGCCTCTGCTTCAGTTCATGCCCTCAGGTTCCTGCCTCAGCTTCTCTTGATAGAGTGTAACCTGTAAGCCAAATACACCCTTTCTTCCCCAGGTTTCTTTTGGTCACCGTTTTATCCCAGCAACAAAAATCTAACTGGAACAGTTAGCCGGAATCAGATGTCAAGGCTCAACTTTCTGGCTTCCTTGAACTGGAGAAATGTTAGGAAAACAGAAGGGGACTTATGGAGAACTCTGGTTGTGGTTTAGGGGTCTTGTAACTATGTAGGCACTGTTTAGTAACTTGCCCAGATCAACCTTGACCTTACAGTCGTCAAAAAAACTTTTTATTTTTTTGCTTCTGTGTGTGCAAGTGCACACAAATGCATGCTTGTAATCACATAGGTTTTAGGTTCTACGGCTCTCTGCCTGCCTGGTCTATGTACATCTTTAGGCATTTCATGATAGAAGAGTCTTTCTAGCATAGACAGCACTCCTTTGCAACAAGAAAAGCTTTCAAGCCACCTTTCCCTTTTACCCCTGCATGCTTATCGTCCTTCATCACCTGTCACCAGCTATAAAAATAGCCAAGAAAAGCTTTGCATTGAACCAAGAAAACTTAACATGCTTTTTGTCTATTAAATAATTGAATATATTACATTTTCTTAAATTTAAACATTTATTGGTATACAAAAAGTCTTTAAATAATTTTGAGAGTTCTATACTGGGACTTTTGGTTTCTTGAGACAGGGTTTCTCTGTATTGCTTTGGAACCTGTCCTGGGACTCACTCAGTAGATCAAGCAGGCCTCGAACTCAGAGATCCATGTGCCTCTGCCTCCCAAGTGCTGGGATTAAAGGCGTGCGCCACTAATGCCCGGCATTTACTGGGGCTTCTATTTTAAATATATTTTATTATTATTACTGTATGTGTCTATTTGATGTGGAGAGCGTGTATGCCAGGGCATGTGTAAGTCAGAGAACCCTGTGGACTTGTTTCTCTCCTTCCACCTTTAGATGGATTCTAAGGTTTGAACTCGGATTGTGAAGTTTGCACAGCAAGTGCCTTTACCCTCTGAGACATCTCACTGGTCTCTATACCAGAACTATTAAGAAACTGATTCATTAACTCAGATTGCCACGATCACCCTTTTGAAAGGTAGTGTTGCTATATTTTTGCAGTGCTTTTACAGCATGGAGCTGAGCCAACCATCCGAAATACAGATGGAAGGACAGCATTGGATTTAGCAGATCCATCCGCCAAAGCTGTTCTGACTGGTAAGTCTGTGCACGTTGTTTACTCCAGAAAGAATACAAATACTTAATGGGCTAGATAGATGTACTGTCTCGTGCAGTTAATGACCTCAAGTAGAATTTGTAAACAGTGTAGTTCACTTACTATTTGCTGTTTATCAACAGTTTAATTTAATTCTTGTCTAAAAATCTTTTTTTCTTTCAATTTTGTGTTTAAAATTGTCATTGTATTGGCAACAGGTTGTCGTAAACATGTGTTGCTTCAGGTATTCAATATATTTTTTAAAATATCCCCAAGCTTTTCAGAAATGTGCAACTTTATATTCTTAGTGTAATGAATTCTTTTAAAAAGCACAATTTTCTTCTAGTTAATTTCAGATCAAGATTTGGGACACATTTCAATACCACGTGTCTATTTTAACTATAATTCATTTCCTTGGACTTTGCTGACATGAGTACAGCTCTAGTTTAAGCAAGCAGACTCAGATTGAGCTGTATCTCCATCATGTTTTTGCCTTTACCCAGTATGCTGTCCATTTAAGTAACTGCCATTATTTATTGGATTCTTTTTATAAATATTTATTTAACTGTGTATGTGTGTGTGGCAGAGAGCACCATGTGTGTGCAGTGCCTAAAGAGATTAGAACAGGTATCAGAACCCCTGGAACTCTGGTTATAGATGGTTGTGTGCTGCATATTATATACCAGGTGCTTAGGACCAAACCTGAGTCCTCTACAAGAGCTGTAAGCATTCTTAACCACTGAGCTGTCCCTCCAGCCATGTTTACTGGATTCTTATCTATCTTAGGAGTTTATTTGTAGGTTGATCTACTTTAAATCTTTATGTATAAAACTGTCACTGAATTGTTTTGAAAATTTCTCATCTTTCCCCTTACCTCCCAATTCACAGGTGACTATAAGAAAGATGAACTATTGGAAAGTGCCAGGTATGTACTACTCTTATGTATGTGTGCCATGGACTTCACAGTGAGGGGATGAAGAGATGGCTCAGTGATTAGGAGCACTTGATACTTTAGTAGAGGATCCAGGTTCGGGTCCCAGCCCCCACAAGACAGCTCACAACTATCTGAAACTCTAGTTCCAGAGGTTCCTTTGCCCACTCGTGACCTGGGCTCCAGACAGAGTTTCTCTGTGTAGCCCTAGCTGACCAGGCTGGCCTCAAACTCATAGAGATCCACCTGCCTCTGCCTCATGAGTGCTGGGGTCAAAGGTGTGCACCACCACTACTTGGCTAAAAATAAATCTTTAAAAAAGCAAATTCTTGCTAGACTTGGTGGTGCACACTTTAATCCCAGCATTCTGGAAGCAAAGGCAGGTAGATCTCTATGAGGGATGGAGAGGTAACTCAGTAGTTAGGAGCACTTGATGCTCTTGGAAAGGACCCAGTTCAGAGGGCTTACAACTACCCTTAACTTCAGCTCCAGGACCATCTGGTGCATTTGACCTCTGTGTGCAGCACACACAAGCGTGTATGTATACATACATGCACACACACAAACACATTTAAGAAGAGTAAAACAATCTTTGCTGTAGAATGTAACAGACCTCATCAAAAAAAGTGTTTTTTTTTAATGCCATAAAGATGCTTTAAGAGAAGACTTTGTTTTAATGATCACAATACATAGTATAAACTACTAATACATTTTTTATGTGTTTCTAGGAGTGGCAATGAGGAAAAAATGATGGCTCTGCTTACACCATTGAATGTCAACTGCCATGCAAGTGATGGCAGGAAGGTACTTGCTGTTATGATAAGTTAAAACATTTAAAGAGTGTTCTGGTGTCTTCTTTTTGAATAGTCATTAAGATTCTTGAATTAAAGGGGTGGAACAATGATGGCTCAGAGGATCTGGGTTCAATTCCCAGCACCCACATGGCAGCTAACAACTGTCTGTAATAAGTCTGATACCCTCACACAGACATACATGCCTGAAAAAGACCAATGCAAAAAAATAAAAATAAACAAATTTTAAAAAAAGATTCTTGAATTAGTAAAACTCACTGATAATGAACATTTAGCTCTATATATAATAGTGAACTTTAAACTTTTATGCTGTGCTTTGTATATATGTTAATTTTATAAAACCAAATTGATTGTTTATTAGCAATGAAGTCAGTTTCTGATATTTCAGACATGTTATGCAGCCATTATGTGAATTTCATTAGTTTATTTGGTTACTATTCCAGTCAACTCCGTTGCATTTGGCAGCAGGCTACAACAGAGTAAAGATTGTACAACTGTTACTGCAACATGGAGCTGATGTCCATGCTAAAGATAAAGGGTAAGCTTTGAACCAAAGGGAGGCCTTCTTGTTCTGTCCTTGTAACACACTGTCTCCTTACTGAAAGCATGTTCCTCTTGCTCTTCGTTTAGTTTATTGAGCTTTTGTAAGATGCAGGCTGTTCTGAGCATCATAGGGATTATAAAGCATTAAGCCTACCACTCATACAATACAATTTATAGCTCATGAAAGATGCCTCATAAATTTGAGTGGTAAGTAGAGATTGACCAATGGAGTTATTAGAGAATCCTTTAGGAGATGTATGCTCCACACATATCTTCAAGTCAGTATTCACTTCAAGAAAGCAGAAGTTCAGGGCAGGTGTGATACTGTATACCATAATCCTATACTTGGAAGGGTATGTATAGTCAGAAGACTCAGGAGTTCAAGGGCATCTTCAACTATATAGCAGTTCTGGGCTAGCCGAGGCTATATGGAACCTAGACTCAAAAATAAATAAGTAAACAAATAGAAAGCAAGAGTTTAAGGAGCATGATTCTATAGGAAAATATAGATAGTACATTTAAGAAGTAGTAATCAAGCCATCTCTGACACAGGTTTATAATCCCATCTCCTTGGGAGGATGAAGGAGAAAGATCACAAGTTGATGCCAGCCTGGAACAATTTAGTAAGATACTCATACCACCCCACCCCCACCCTAATGAAAGGAGGGGAATGTAGCTCAGTGGTAGGATTCTTGTTTTAGCATGCACAAAGACCTGGGTTCAATCACCAGTAGCACACACACATCAGACTAACTAGGACAAAGCAGATGACGATGATTCACATGGGACAAATACCAGAATTGGAGAAACTGTTTTTTTTTTTTTTTAAGTTTTAGAAATTTTGATGTATTAGCATAAACTCAATATTGTTTTGCAGTCTTAAGCATTTTGTGATCTGAAATGAAGAGCCGTTGTTATTTTATCCTCAAAGGAGCTTAAGGAAGAGGTGCATTGTGGAATAATATATGTTGGATTAATTGGGGAAAGAGGAGACTAGAAGTAAGAAGAGCAGTATCTAAGAGTGAGCTCTGTGGAGCTTCTGTACAGCTAAGATCTAACAGAAGTTGCAGGGGAAATGAAAAGAAAGGCATAGACAGATACTGCAGTGGAAAAGTAGAGATGGTGAAGATCTGGGTGTGAATATTTTGAAACTATGTGAGTTATACCCACAGCACACATACTGAAGTATAGGAGAGAAATGGTTTGGGAGAAAACATTGTGCTAACTTTTAGAACTCTTGGTTTTATGAGAATGAGGAAATTGAAGCAGAAGTATTTAGTGAGTGGCAATAAGGTTGGTATTCAGGCAAGAAAAGAACTGTGTGTCACCAGAAACTGCTCTGGCAGTGCTTGTACCAGTTAGTGATGCTAATCCCCAAGGAGAAGGACCAGCTTAAAGGTAGAAGCCAGAATTTTAAGGTTCCAGAATTTTAAGGTTCTAATACACTACAAAAGAATTTGACTTCAGTTTACTAAGGACACTTACCTTACCGAATTAAGATGTTTCAGGCCAGGGAGACAGAGGCAGGGAAATCTATATGAGTTCAAGGCCAGCCTGGTATACATAGTAAGTTACAGGCCAGCCAAAGCTGCATAGTGAGACCTTGACAGTGGAAAAATTAAAAAGTTAGAACCATCTCTTTAAAGCAAGGAAGAACAATGATATTAAAACAAGAAGGCCTATAAGGAATTTACCTTTGTAAAACTTTAGCTAGAGCTTAGAGAATAAATTGGTTTAGAGGTTGTTTCAGAAATGCAGAGTTTATAACAGTGTGAGCCCAAACTAGTAACCAGTAGTAGTGATAGGGAGAAAAGGAATATGGATTTGAAAGAGAGTCCGGAATTACAGTTTGAAGATTGCCCTAGACTTAGGGACTCTGTAATAATAGGCTTTTTTCCCTCACTCTCCCTTAGTGATCTGGTGCCATTACACAATGCCTGTTCTTACGGTCATTATGAAGTAACTGAACTTCTGGTCAAGGTTAGTTCTTTTGTGCCTCATTATTTTCTATAATTACATAAAGTGATTTTAAATGCACAGTGTTTTCTGGCTTGTTCTTTGTTCTGGGTGCTTGGTAGAAAGTGGGAATAATTATGATAACATGCAGATTATTGATAGGCTAGCATTTGACTGCCCTCATGCAATGTTAAATATAAGTATCACTAAAGAGGTCATACTAAAATGTTATTGGGGTAAGAGAACAGGGACTTACCAGAATAAGATAAGAGGTTGACAGCCCTTGCTAAAGAATCTGCCTAATTGAAGGCATTAATTCAGTAACTGCATTCCATCACCAGAACATTCACTATTCCTAGGAACAGAGGTACCAAGTCACACCCCTGAGTTAAACAATGAAGTACGGCACCAGCAAACACAAAGATAGCAAGGAGGGCTAGCATGATGTCTTAGTGGATAAAGCCCCTTGCTGCCTGATGGCCTCAGTTCAATCCCTGGGGTCCACGTGGTAGGAGAAAACCAGTTCCTTAAAGTTGTTTTCTGACTCCGCATGTGTACTGTGGCACATGCGTGTTTGTACGCAGTTTAATTTGATGGTAACTGTACTTTTACAAAATGTTTTTAAAAATAACAAGGTTGGCACACGCCTTTAATCCCAGCACTCCGGAGGCAGAGGCAGGTGGATCTTCTGTGTCTTTGAGGCCAGCCTGGTCTACATAGTATGACCCTGTATCAAAGTATCACAGATAAATAATTTTTTTTTTAAAGAATGCAAGGTATTTTCTCAACTTTTATCTTCATAGCCTCTAAGTGCAAAGAAGCACATAGTCTGGTCTGAGGGGAAATTCTGTCAGATTTGTAACTAAACAGCTGTGCCAAGAGTTGACTGCTATTCTTCCCTTGAAAGGGAATGTCAAAAACTCTAATAGACTGCCTGTAGGGTCTGTCTGTAACTTTATTGTGATCCAGGTTTTAGTGTTGACCTGATAAACAATTAGAGGATATAAAACTAGTTTTATATCTGGTTTTAACCCTTTCATTTATTTTTCTTTGTGTGTGTGGAGGGAGCAGTTAAGTATATAAAAATATGAAGTCCACTGTAAAGCTCCATAACTGCAGGATGAGTACTCTAGCGGTACCCATTCATTGAGACTGTTAGGGCTTTGAGTCTAGCTAATCTCACTGAATACTTATAAAAATATTTACAATAAAGTTTTGCCTGTTAAAAAATTAGAAAGGCTGGATGGCAGTGGCACATACCTTTTGTCCCGGTACTCGGGAGGCAGAGGCAGGTGGATCTCTGCGTTTTTCGGTCAGCCTGATCTACAAAGTGAGTTCCAGGACAGGCTCTAAAGCAATACAGAGAAGCCCTGTCTTGAAAAACCAAAAAAAGGGGGGGGGTTGGGGGCTAGAGAGGTGCTTGGGCTAAGAGCGTACACAATCTTGCAGAGGACCAGAGTTTGGATCCTAGCACCCACATTGTGTGCCTCCAACAGCCTGTTAACTCCAGCTCCAGAAGATCTGACTGCCTCTTCTGGCCTCCAGAGGCCTTGCGTTGATGCACATACTCACCCACAGATACATGCAGGTGCACATAATTAAAATTCTAAAAACATCAAAAAAGTGCCCCCCCCATGTATAATATGTGTTGTTGGCTTCTCTTTCCCTCTCCTAGAAACAATTGTCCAGTAACAACCTAAGTAAATCACAATCTAATGAAAAGCTCTTCAGCAATTCAAGCTGGTGATGCAGCCTGAGTCTCAGGAAAATTAATATGTGAAAGAGCTCTAAACACGGACAATCTACTTGTTTCATTTTTATGAAATTCAGAAACACATAAATATGGTACTAATAGAAGGGGGCAAAAATTGCCAATGAAAGAAGTATAGAAAACATTTGGTGGTGGTGGGATACTGCTGCTGCTGCACGCCTTTAATCCCAGCATTCGGGAGGCAGAGCTAGGTGGTTCTCTGAGTTTGAGGCCAGGACAGTAAGGGCTACGCAAAGAAACCCTGTCTCAAAAAAACAAGAGTATGAATCTTCTTTCTGTATCTATCAAAATTCTCTAAGCTTACTTATTAAGAGTTGTGCTTCCCTGTATGTAAATTATACCTACAAAAGGAAAGGAAGATTCTTGCAGAAGATCTTTTTTTTTTCAACTTGCATGTTGTTAAACTACACAGGGTTAATCTAGATTCTCTTAAGAATTGAACATTAACTATACATCTTTTCTTCCCCCAGCATGGTGCCTGTGTAAATGCAATGGACTTGTGGCAATTTACTCCTCTTCATGAGGCAGCTTCTAAGAATAGGGTTGAAGTGTGTTCTCTCCTCCTGAGTTATGGGGCAGATCCAACACTGCTGAATTGTCACAATAAAAGTGCTATAGACTTGGCTCCCACACCACAATTGAAGGAAAGATTATCATGTAAGTATAAAAATGATGTTCAAGATGGGTGTGGTGGCACATACCTTTAATCCCAGCATGTAGGAAGCAGATGTAGGTGGATCTTTTTAGTTCAAGGGCAGCCTGGTGTACATATAGTAAGTCCATACCAGCCAGGGCTACATAGTGAGACCCTGTCTTGAAAGAGGGAAAAAAAAACAAACAAAAAAACCAAAAAGCAGTGTGATGCTTAGTGAAATACATGAGCTCTGTGAGTGAGCTTTTGGGGGGGGGGATGTTTCAATTGTAAAATATTTTCTTTATTGGTAGGTTCCTGTTTAGCATAGTTAATAATTTAAATACTGTAGCCAGGTGTTGGTGGTGCACACCTTTAATCCCAGCACTTGGGAGGCGGAGGCAGGTGGATCTCTGTGAGTTCGAGGCCAGCCTGGTCTACAGAGCGATTTCCAGGACAGCCTTCAAAACAATACAGAGAAACTGTCTCGAAAAAAAAAAAAATTTAAATACTGTGAAAAAATGTATTTGGGCTAGTTTTTCAATTTAAGAACTATAAATTATAGCCTTTGGGTTTTACTCATATCTTTGGGACTTTGTAGTTAATTTTATAAAAAGTTGTTTGTTGTCTTGTAAATACAGTCTCTGGGTTATGACATATAATAATCTCTACTATCTGGGCCAAATTGTGTGGTTTTCTGTGTAGCTTAAGAAAATTCAGTAAGAAATCAGATCAGATACAGTATTCCTACGTGTAAATGAATAGCCTAAACTAAACTCACATTGTTCCAGAACAGTAAAATGATAATGAGTGATTTCACAAATCTAATAAGTAAAAGAAAAACTTTGAGGAAATGCTTTCTTTAATTTTGTTCATCCTGAGGAGCAATTGATGAGCCATTGTGTTTGTTCCATAGTTACCTGATAGGCATAAACGAGACTAGGGGTTATGGTCGCCCTTTGTAAGTTGTCAGAACACTCTGGGGTAGGGATGGATTATAATAGTGTAGATATCTCTAATCCAGTTACATAGTATTAACAAACCATGTATTGAATGAACTGAGCCATGGCTAATGAGACCTAGAATGCCATTGTGTCTGTTGTTAATTATTGGTATTAGTCTTATCTATGGAGCTTTAATCTGGGTATTTTGGAGATTATTTTGAAAATAATTCCAATAAAAAGAAAATACTAGTATTGTGTGAGGCAAGCCGCATTACTGTGATCATTTTCATGTAGATGCAAATGCTTTTTTATTTAGATGAATTCAAAGGCCACTCATTGCTGCAGGCTGCACGGGAAGCTGATGTGACAAGAATCAAAAAACATCTTTCTCTGGAAATGGTGAATTTCAAACATCCTCAAACACACGAAACAGCATTGGTAACGTTTCAGACTTAAGCTTTTAAAATAACCAAAAACTAAGCATAATATGTGATTCTAGTGATGGCATTGTTTTTAACATACTCATCTGTTGGTTATCTGGTTGATGTTTTTGTTGTTGTTTTGGTTTTGTGAGTTTAGTTTTTTTTTTTTATAGCCCATATTGGCCTCATAAGTGGTAGTCCTACTTCTGCCTCTCAAATGTTGAAATAGACATTTGCTGCCATGCTGAACTAATTTCAGTTATCCATCTATACATAAAGGAAAAAATATAAATAGTGTAGAAAAATACATCCCAAAAAACGTAATACTAGTAGTTTAAGAACCTATCTAGAAAACAAATTCCCATGTTCTTGAATGCTATATATAACTTTTGAGTATGCATATAAATACAATTGGTCATTTGTGGTTTTCTGTAAGTTTGAATTAATTACCTTAGAGTTACTTCCATTAACAAACTAGGTGTGATACTATGTCCCTGGAATCCCAGGATCTAGAAGGCTAAGGTAGGAGGACCACAAGTTTAAGGCTAGCCTGAGTCACACTAACAAAACTCTTGCCTTAAAAAACCAAGTGGAGGAAGGGCATGGAGAGATGACCTTTGTGGAACTATGATAAAGTGTAGTTGTGAGTAGTGAAGTCCAGGAGCTACCAGAAATGGGTGGTGAAATACAGGAGCATGGTCAGTGGCTATCTTAAAAGTAGGAATTCCAAAAGAAAATAGGAAACTCTGTTATATAAGCTTCTCAGTGTTTCTTAGGTAGAAGGAACTGAATAAAGGAGACTGTCTGGTGGATAATGTGTTTTCTTCCTTATACCGTAATATAAACTGCGAAATTTGTCACTTATCTTCTTTTTTGTTTGTTTACTTAGTTATTTTATGTGCATTGGTGGTTGCGTGTATGTGTCCTTTGGATGAGCAGCCAGTGCTCTTAACTTCTGAGTTATCTCTCCAGCCCCCACCACTTAACTTTTTAAAATCCAAGTTAAACTAAAGTTCTAGACTAATAAAATATGTTAAGCAGAAAATTAAAACTATATCAGCATTAAACTAGTATGGAGAAGCTTAGAAAGACTAGCCATCATGGAAAATTTTCTAGTGTGAAAATCTAATGCATTTGCACCCTATTATCTAAAGAGGGTATCTTCCTACTCTTCAGTTACTGCCTAAAATCACAGATAGTGCTAAACCCTAATATATCTTTTTTCTTATATAACCATACCTGCGATAGTTTAATTTATACTTTATACACAGTAAGATTAACGACCATACCAGTAACTCTTAGTAAGACTTCAGTATACAGTATCTTCTCTGTCTTAATAAGTCGGAACTTTTCAGTTAAAAAAGCACTATCTCCATTTTTTTTTTTTTTTGGTCTTTATGGTTTTTTTTGTATTCAGAATAAATGTCCTATGGTATTACCCCTAGTGTGTCAAAAGAACTGTGTGCCAGTTAGACTTGACTTTATTGAGGGTGAGGGAATTATTTTGGTGACTGTAGCATTATCAAAAAATCAGGAGCATAATTGTGAGGAACTGATTAATAACAGGAGAATAAGGGCTGGAGAGATGGATCAAAGGTTGCTGCTCTTCCAGAGGTCCTGAGTTCAATTCCCAGCAACCACAGGGTGTTTCACAACCATCTTTAGTGGAATCTGATGCCCTTTTCTGGCATAAGGTATATATGCTGATAGAGCACTCAGATACATACAATAAATGAGTCTTTAAAAAAGTAGCAGGAGAATAGATTTCACAATCACTGTATGTTTAGATGCATAGAGCATCTTTGCTCTGAAATTTTAACCAGAATTTTTAGCCTACAATTTTCAGATTTGGGTTTTGACAAATAGTCACATTGATTTGGTCCATTATTAGTCAGATATTGAGTACCTGTTATACTCCAGTAAAATTGTAAAGATTTGTGTCATAATCATAGATGATAAGTTTATAAAAGGTAAATCCCTGCCTCCTTTTGCTTTCCCTCTATGATACTCAGAAATGCTGCAGCCATAAACAATACACGAAGTGCCAAATAGGAAATTCAAGCTCTTTATTCTGCTGTGGCAACTAGTTAAGCAGCTAGCCCATCAGTGCTGTTAAACCAGCAGAATTCAGAACAAAAAGATGGGTATGTTTCTTCATATAACAACCCAAATCCTGAGCTACCACCTGTGAAACTGTGGATTCAGTATTTAGCAATACAAGAAGAAATACCAACATTTGAGCCTTCACCTTTTAAATATAACATGTTCATCCTATCAGTAGTGGCATTTTCAGAAATTGAGGACAAAATTTAATCAGGATATTTAATAACACATAGTATTTGATCTGTGGGATTTTTCTAGCCGTGTTAGAATCTGTAATTACTACACGTTCTCTCCAATAGAAAGTCTTTCAAGAGTAAAGTCCTCGAAAAAAAAAAAAACAAAGAAATTAGATTGCATTTATTACCCTTGATTGGAAACACAAGTGTTCTTAAGCGGAACTGGTTTTGTATGTTCCTTGATTAATGCTGCAATTTGAATTATTTAGCATTGTGCTGCTGCATCTCCATATCCCAAAAGAAAGCAAATATGTGAACTGCTGCTAAGAAAGGGAGCAAACACCAACGAAAAGACTAAAGAGTAAGTATGCCTTTGACTAGTAGATGTTATTGATATCTTTTTGTGTGGAAAATATACTTATTGTGGCTGGCCTTTTCTCTTTAAGATTCTTGACTCCTCTGCACGTGGCTTCTGAAAAAGCTCACAATGACGTTGTTGAAGTAGTGGTGAAGCATGAAGCAAAGGTATACATCATTTCTGGTAATTTTTGGTAATCCAGTGAGTTGCTTTCTGTTTAGTAGACATCTGGCTCCTTAAACTACTCAATCTATCATAAATGTTTTTTTTTCTTAGTTTACATTTCAAAACAGCTCTGGGCTGGGAAGTAAAGTATTTGCCATGCAATTGTGAGAACTCATGAGACAGGAGGTAGTAGTGCTCCTTTGGCTAAATGGGAGGCAGAGAGGAAAGAGTGCCTAAATGCTTGTAGGCCAGCTAGCCTGGCATGTGAGGAGCCACGTCCAAGGCTATACTCTTGACCATCATGCACTCGCAACCCCTCAATATGCAGAGAGATGGGGGGGTCCTATAAACAACTTCCAAAATCTATTGTTTATCTATTTGTATGTACATTATTCCTGAATGTTCTTTTTTCTCCATTCCTTTTAATTCACTGACAAAGTTATTCTTGACTTTTCTTAACAGTACACAAAACACCTCTTGTCTTAGCAAGAGACCAGTCCTACCCTGGGTTTCTTTTCTGACCCACATCTGAAATTCCTTTGTTAATATGATAACTCCTCTTTTTTACCAGTGTCGAGTTTGCACTTTCCACCATTTCTGTAACTAAGACAAAGAACTTGAATAGAAGTAAAGAAATACTTTGACTTAAAACTTGTAACCATGCTGATAAATTAACATTATTTAGTTGACATTTATATACAAAGCATTTACCCCTTGAGTAGGTACTTCCAACAAAGCTGTAAATCATTTCTTACCCAATAACTTTAAAATATAATTCAACCCTAACTACCTGAATTAGATCTCTTGGAACCCATGTGAAAAGCCAGGTGTGGTGGAACGCATCTGTAATCTCAATGTTCTGATAGATTGATAGATGGGGAACAGACAGGGGAGTTGGCCAGTACAGCAGCCAGAACAAAGTGTCAGAAACAGTAAGAAGACCCTGCTTTAGCATGGTAGAAGGTGCGAACTCAATCCCAGATGTTCTCTGTCTTCCACATACTTACACACACACTAAATTTTGAATTTTTAACCTAAAATGCTTGGTAAAATGTGTATATAGAAGAAATGACAGTTGATGGTTTCCAAGGTTTTTTTTTTTTTAAGATTTATTTATTATATATACAGCATTCTGCCTGCATGTATGCCTGCAGAGGGCACCAAATCTCATTACAGATGGCTGTGAGCCACCATGTGTTTGTTGGGGATTGAACTCAGGACCTCTGGAAGAGCAGTCAGTGCTCTTAACCTCTGAGCCATCTCTCCAGCCCAGTTTCCAGTTTTTATTCCAAAGATTTTTACCTTCTTCAAAGAAAATTGTTAGTGAAAATTTAGTCTGTAGTACAGAAATGGAGCTGGGGGGGAGGAGAGGGGGAACAGGCCCTGAGTGGCCCTGAGACCTTATCCTCACTGGGTTTGCAGGTCAGTTTTCTTACTTTTCCTTCAATTTCTTTTTCTGTTAACCTTTAATGTCTTAATCTCTGGTTCCGGGAAGTTCTTGATAATGTATGAATGTGATTTTTTTCCCTCCTGTAAATTACTGAATAAAATAAAGTTGGTTTCTGCTTGACTGCTTGTCATCCTCATTTGTCTCTGCTCTGTGCCTTCGTGTTGGTCACTTTTTCTTCACATGTGGCACATTACTTGAAGACTGTACAGGCACACATTGAATTTGAAGTGTGAAGCTTAGTGAGACAGTTGTGACTAGAGACCACTCCTTTGCTTTTGTCCAGGACTTAGTAGTTTCTAAAAGCTACCAAGATTGAGGAAGTCCCAGGCAAACCAGCAAAAGTTGGTCATCCTAATATATATAGCATTCAAAGCTTTCAGGAAATGTTTTTCAAAAAATAGGATTTAGTATGTGAATGAACATTGCCCTGAGCATTTTAAATAGGTTTTCAGTTCTGTAATCATAGACATTCATATTCTAGTTTTATGCTCATTGAGATCTCGCTGTGTCCATCTTCAAATATTCTCTGATGGCATAAATTATTGATTGGTCAGTGTCAAAAGACACTGGTGGACAAAGGATTCATTAGTTATATATTGAATTACTTTCATGGTAAGGAGGCACAATGGAAATGAGGTGACCTTAGAGGTAATCTTATTTTCTTGTGAAGAATTTCAAAGTTACAGCCAAATTGAAAGAATTTTACAAAAAAGTTCCATACCTACTACCTGGATACTAGCACCAGCTATATTATGCTACATATCCACCAACATTTCATATTTTTTGACACATTTGCAGATTATTGTACATATACTAAATACTTCGTATATACACATCAGCTAAAGTTGGGTGTTTACATTTAGTTTTTCTATAGGTACAAGATATATATGGGATGAAATGTGCAAATCAGTGTATATTTGGTGATACATATACATGCATATATATGTATACAATATATCTGTGTAACCAAGATCTATTAAGGAACACAGGCTAAGGCAGAAGTGGGTAGTGCAAAGCTCAATGGTAGATTGTCTCAATGTGTAAGGCCCTGAATTCAATCCATAATAATGGTGCTTCATCTCAAGGAGTCTCTACCCTAGGCAATAACAGCCATTTTGAGGTTTATCTATCACAGATGTGTACTCTTTAGTGTGAAGTTTTTCTAGTTAGTATGTTTTAGAGATTCATCAGTATGTCAGCAATGCCTTTGTATTTCTAATGAATGTTCCATTGTGGATATAGGGTATGTCTATTCACATGATATTCTACATGATAACATGGTGTAGAAGAATGAGTATTTCAATACTAACTCACCTCTGTACTTTTCCCTGGCTGTTGCATATTTTGTAGTCAATCATAAAAATTATGTATCTCAAAGACTCATAAAATTACAATGGATGCAGCTTTTTCCGTCAATGTCTAGTTCTAAATAGGGTGAATATATAAATGCTTTAAAGCTAAACATAAATGTTAAACTTACTGTACTTGGCAAGACCCACATAAAAGTTGGATCTTCATCCTGACATCAGTTTTCATGGATTGGTAAATTTGTACTCCAGTATTGAGGCAGGGGAGATGGATGCCTACGTTGGCACTGGACAATTGGTTTCTTAAAAAAAAAAAATAGAAACTTTTAGTAGTAAGTATACAATTGAATTATTTTAGATGGTGTGCCACAATGCTAATCTCAGTGTTTTCTGCATTATTTTTAAGGTTAATGCTTTGGACAGTCTCGGGCAGACATCATTGCACAGAGCTGCACACTGTGGTCATCTGCAAACCTGCCGCCTGCTCCTGAGCTATGGATGTGACCCCAACATCATATCCCTTCAGGGTTTTACCGCCTTGCAAATGGGAAATGAAAATGTGCAGCAGCTGCTTCAAGGTATTGGGTGCTTCTCTGACATTCTTTTTTAGAGATTAACCTTTACAGTTTTTCACATATCAGGTGTCAGGTGTAGGAGTTGGTAATAAACAGAAAATTTTTGAGAAATGTTGGTCTTCTTAACTTAAAATTCTTAAATGTCATTAAATCATAATTACAACTTTAGTTCAGTATCATATTCCAACCAGTTTCTCTGAGAAAATATAGGACACTCAAGTTTTTAAAGTTTATAAAGTTGATTTGCCAGGCATGGTGATGCACACCTTTAATTCCAGTATTCAGGATGCAGAAGTAAGCGCATATCTCATCTTTTTCTTTTTTTCTTTTTTCTTTTCCTCTGCTCTTCTTCTCTTTTTTTTTTGAGGCACTGTTAATACCAGCTTTGGAGAGGTGGAGGCAAAAGGGTCATAAGTTCAGTGCTCCCTTAGGTATATAATGAGATATACTCCACTACCCCCTCCCCAAAAAAAGGGTTTTAAATGCTCTCATTAATCAAGTAAGATGTGGTGATTGGTAGAGTTTTTTTTGTTGTTGTTGTTGTTTAGATCAAGGACAATATTTTAAAAGATAGGTTGGCTTTTTTGTTTTGTTGTTTTTCTACAGCAATCCTAGTAGTGATAACTTCCATAAATAAGTACATAAATAGATCTTGGGTATATAAGATATGCATACATCTTCTGATAATGTATGTTACAATGTGAGGCTTTCCATCTTGTCCCTGGCTTTATTATTTAATTTATGGGCGATTTGCCCTGGCACTTTTCTACATTGGGTTTTTGTTTGGCTCTTCCTTTGACATACTGTTCTAGATGTTTATCCTGAGACGTAAACATTTATCTCTGTTTTCTTTTAGTTCTTTTAAGGCTGACTTTATAAACTTCAACCTTTACCTGGAACTTGCTTTGTTGTACATATTCTTTTCATAAATTTTTAGTTTTAAGACACAATTTTAATTTTGTTTTTTGTGTGTTTTTTTCTTTTTCAATACACAGTTTCTCTGTAACAGTCCTGACTGTCCTGAAACTCACAGAGATCCACCTGCCTCTGCCTCCTGTGTACTGGGATTAAAGGTGTTCACCACCACTGCTCAGCTCTAGACACAATTTTAAGCGAAAATGATTAGCTACTTTCTAATCCAGCTGTGCTCTTTAAAATTGAAAACAAAAGCCTGAGGCTAGTTAATGTCAGAACCATGTTTAGATTTCTGCTGGCTGCTCATTTCCAGTGCTCACACATGGCGTGGTTATAATGCAGACGAATTTTCATCTGGCTATGTTCCTTTATACCACTTAATAGCTAACATGGCTTATACATTTTGTTCAGTGCATATTTTCAGAAATTTTAATAGCCTTAGTGTTTTCCCCCGTGGTGATACTATATAAGCTAGCAAACTCAAAAGCTACTTTGTAAAACATGGAAATTAAGTACTCTTCTCTCCCATTTCTAGAGGGCATCTCACCAGGTCACTCAGAGGCAGATAGACAGTTGCTTGAAGCTGCAAAGGCTGGTGATGTAGAAACTGTAAAGGTAAGATACAATATTAAAATTTGTTAATCTTTGATTTTTGTTTTGTCATTATTTTAGTAAATCTGTACTGTTACATCAAATAGCCTTATTAAAAGGACAAAATACCAATTCCTCTGCAGTAAGGAACACTGAGAAATGGGGGTGGGGTTTATTTCACATGAAGTTTAGAAAATATCACTTCGGGCCTGGAGAGATGGGTCAGAGGTTAAGAGCACTGGCTGTTCTTCCAGAGATCCTGAGTTCAATTCCCAGCAACCATATAATGGCTCACAACCATTTATAGTGAGATCTGGTGCCCTCTTCTGGCCTGCGGGCATATGTGCATGCAGAACACTGTATACATAATAACTAAATAAAAATCTTTTTTTAAAAAAGAGTCTGGATTCCTAGACCAGATTTTTTTAAAGAAAAGATTACATTCACAAATCTTAGTACTCTTTCTGTAGTATAAAATACAATTGTCTTAAAAAACTCACATGTCCCTATAAAACAAGAATAAGAGGCTAGAGAAACAGTTCAGCAATTAGAAGCATTTGCAGCTCCTGCAGAGGGCCTGCATTCAGTTCCAGCACCTAAATGGTGGCTTACAATCCTCAATAACTGGTTCCAGGAATGTAACATCCTCTTTTGACCTCCATGTTGAACACAGGCATACATACATGTAGGCAAAACATTTGTAAATATAAAACAATCTTCTATTTTAGGAAAATCAATTTTAAGGATAAATAAATATGAACCAGGCATGATAGTGCACAAACCAAACATTAGGGAGGTTTAAAAGACTTCCTGAGCTACTTAGGAAGACCCTGTCTAAAAGCAATACCAAGACTTAGAAAACAAAGTAATGCCATTGGATTAAAGAAGATACACATTGCTCTCTGGGATAAGCATTGGGCTAGTTTTCTTGTCCTCTGACTCTAAAATCTCTTGGAAATTAATCTCCATCAGCCTTTCTGTTTCTTTTCTATCTGAGGGCATGTGACTGTATAAATTACTAGGATAGGAACATTCTCCATACTATCCATTAAATACTTACATTTTTACTTAGATTTGTTTACTATTGTCTATCAGGTTACATCATTTTGTAGATTCCTGTAATACCTCACAAAAACACCTGAGAAAAAAAGGGTTTATTTGAACTTACAGTACAGGGTGCAGTCCAGCATGGCAGCAGGAGCTTGGGGTAGCTGGTCACATTGCATCTGCAGTCAGGAGGCAGAGGTCAGTGAGTGCTGACTTTTAGCTCATTTTCTCCTTTTATTCAGTCCAGAACACAGCCCATGGAAAGGTGTTATCAACAGTTAAGGTGGGTCTTCTTGCCTTGATTAATAGATGATCCCTGGTGGGTGTGCCCAGATGCTTATCTTCTAAGTGATTGATTCGAAGTCAGCAACCTGACTTTATTAACTGTAACACTACCTAATAGCAGAATGGACAATGTTAAAATGATCTTTGGTAACTACCACATGTGGCAACAGCCGGTTCACAGTACAAACACTCATTCCTAGATCATGTTTCAGACCCAGTAAAGCACTGCTTTGGGACTGGAGCCTTATTCATCAAACCTAGCATATATGTCTTTTTTTAAATATTTTATTTATTTATTATGTATACAGTCTTCAGCCTGCATGCCAGTAGAGGGGACCAGATCTCACTCAAGGTGGTTGTGAGCCACCATGTGGTTGCTGGGAATTGAACTCAGGACCTCCGGAAGAACAGTCAGTGCTCTTAACCGCTGAGCCATCTCTCCAGCCCACATGTGTGTCTTATAAGCTCAGAAAAGCTTTGCGAGTTCAGTGGCTCCCTTTTGGATAAACCACTGATATGGCCTGTGAGCTTCAGTTATCCCTGTTCTTAAGGCAGAAGTAGTATAACGTGTCTTACTAATCCTAGTATTCTTGTGACTCTTTAAGCATTGTTATCTGTTTTATTTCCCTAAATTTTATATGTAATATTCAAAATATTTAAGATATTACTTTTGATTAAGCTAGACTTACTCCTCTGAACCACAGGAAAATAACTTCAGTAATTATTTTCTTAGTTCTCCAAGGATGTTATATAACCAGCAGCATTTTGCTAGTTCGTTATACATAAAGTGCAGAAACAGTCATTATCTTAAATCTGGTTCCTTGACTACTAGATTGCCTAGAAACTTGGTAGGAATGCAAATTTACATCACCAGACACTGACTTACAAAATTTGGCAATAAGACCAGTGTGTGTCAAAATTGAGAACCACTGCTGAGCCGGGCGTTGGTGGCGCACACCTTTAAACCCAGCACTCGGGAGGCAGAGGCAGGCGGATCTCTGGAGTTCGAGGCCAGCCTGGTCTACAGAGCCAGTTCCAGGATAGCCTCCAAAGCATTACAGAGAAACCCTGTCTCGAAAAACCAAAAAAAAAGAAGGAGAGAGAACCACTGCTCTGCAGCATCACTTCTCAGATTTTAATATACTTGTAGATAAAGGTCTTACTAAAATGTACATTTGCTGTGGGACTTTTATTTGTTTTTGTTAGAAAGTCTTACCATGGCGTCCAAGCTGGCTTTGAACTCATAATCTCCTGCCTTTGCCTTCCAATGCTGGGATGATAGGCATATACTACCTTGCCTCGCTTAAAATGCAGATTCTGACTATAGATACAGATTTGGAACCCTTGAGTTTTTTCTCTTGGTGTTTCTGCAACCTAGTGTGCTGTTACATGTGTTTACCACCAAATGGAAGTTACAATGAGAGTTTTTGAAGTTACGGTATCAATATCTTGGGAAAAGTAGAAGATATAAGCAAAGAACCAGAAGTTTCAGTAAATGAGAAGCTGAACATAGAATAGTTTCTGAAATAACTTACTTAATGAAGTAAGAAAATAAGGCATGCATTTGAAATTTCTGTTAAACTGTGTTAAAAGAAGACGTGCTCTGTTCAATTCTACAGAAACTGTGTACTGTTCAGAGTGTCAACTGTAGAGACATCGAAGGCCGTCAGTCAACGCCACTGCATTTTGCAGCTGGGTACAACAGAGTGTCTGTGGTGGAATACCTGTTGCAGCACGGGGCTGATGTGCATGCTAAAGATAAAGGGTAAGAAGCAACCGTCCTGGCTCCCTTACCTCTGTGTGACCCTCTGGGAAATTAAAGACTTAGGAGAAATGACAAAATACTTGCTTTATAGAATGTGATTCGCTTTCTAGCGTTGGTACAATGACTTAAGGTTTTGTGTTGAGCATAGTGGTGCTCACCTGACTCCAAGCACTGGAGAAGTAGAGGCAGGTGGAAAGTCACCACAAGTTTGAAACTAATATGGGCTACAATTTGAAACCCTTTCTTTTAAGAAACAAAATGTGAATGGCTCAAATTTGCATTGAGATTAATTTGTATAATGTCTTATCATTTTTTAATTGCCAGAGATTATGTTTTTATGATTTTGATACTGATATTAATGTATTAAGATTTTTAGTGTTCATGAGAATATTTGAAATTTTTTCATTAATCTTGAAATTGATTTTTGTTAAAAATACGCAATGTTATATGTCAAGTCTGTATGTGAATGTTTCTTATACTCCCTGCATTTAAGCTGTTTTGAAATTCTTCGCCTAAAGTCTTTTCCTGCTTTCCATGGGTTTAAGTTCTTCAGCGTATAACCAATATACTCCCTTAGGCAGTTCAAGAAATGTCTTTCGAGCCGGGCGTTGGTGGCGCACGCCTTTAATCCCAGCACTCGGGAGGCAGAGGCAGGCGGATCTCTGTGAGTTCGAGACCAGCCTGGACTACCAAGCGAGTTCCAAGACAGCCTCCAAAGCCACAGAGAAGCCCTGTCTCGAAAAACCAAAAAAAAAAAAAAAAAGTCTGTCATTGATTATATGCGATTACTGAGATTAAACCGTATTTTTCCGCCATTACTGCTTATTTAATTTTTCAGAGGCCTCGTGCCTTTGCACAATGCATGTTCTTACGGACACTATGAAGTTGCAGAACTTCTTGTCAAGCATGGAGCAGTAGTTAATGTAGCTGACTTGTGGAAGTTCACACCTTTACATGAAGCTGCAGCAAAAGGAAAATATGAAATATGCAAACTTCTGCTCCAGGTATGCTTAAGTACTTGCTATAGACAATGTGAATTACTTAAAATACTCAGATTGTTTTTCTAATAGCACTAATATAAAATTTAAACTAATGAAAGTAGGGAAAAATGTTACCTAATGCTGAAACAAAATTTCAAGGAAAATGTCATGAGCAATTTATTTTTTGAGTCTACGTATATATTATCAGCATAGGGTTTTTGTGGGATGTATGTATGTGTATATATATATATATATATATATATATATATATATATATATATATATATAGACACCTACCATATAGTAGTGCTGATGGCTATCATTTCCTGTCTGGTGATCTACCCTCAAATTACTTGACTCATCGTGTGGGTTATAAGCCCAATTTGTTTAACAGTCTATAAAATTGATGGTGCTGGTCTAATATAGATACAGATACTTTGCTGTTAAATATTAAAGCAGATTCATTCATACAGTGTTTGTAAAAAGGAAAGATGCAGGCTGGAGATGGCTCAGCAGGTAAGAACACTGACTACTCTTCCACAGGACCTGGGTTCAATTCCCAGCACCCACATGGCAGCTCACAACTGTCTGTAACTCCAGGATCCAACACTCTCACATAGACGTATATGCAGGCAAAATACTAATGAACGCAAAATAAAAAATAATAAATTATTTTTTTTTAAAGTATGAAAAAAAAAAAGAAAAGATGCAGCTAGGTATGGTGGTACACTCCTTAAAACCCAGCACCTGGGAGTCAGAGGCAGGTCAGTGTGTGACAATTCAGTCAATGATGGGCTACATTTTTGGCAGTGGTCCTATAAAATTTTAATGTAAGGACTATGGATGCATCTTTGTAGAATCTGTCTAGTGTGCACAAAGTCCTGGGATTTATTCCCAGCACCACATGGGCAGAGTCAATGGTAAATACTTAAGTCTCATTATGTAGGAAGAAAGAGACAGGAAGATCAGTGTCAAGGCCAGCTTCAAATACAGAATCAATTTCAGAAGACCATAAGACTATCTAAAATAATAATTTTTAAATTATATAGCTGAAAACTTTTACTATAGTTTTTCTGTTCTTAGATACATACTTACAAATGTGTTGTCATTGCCTATGGTATTTAAGCAGTAATAACAATCAGGTTAGATTTAGTATAAAATGATTTTCTTTGCTCTGGTTATTTTCTCAATGACAAAATGCATACTAATCCACCCCTCCCCCTTTTTTTCTCATGCCTAGCATGGTGCAGACCCTACAAAGAAAAACCGAGATGGTAATACTCCTCTGGACCTTGTTAAAGATGGAGACACAGATATCCAAGATCTACTTAGAGGTGATGCAGCTTTGCTAGATGCTGCCAAGAAGGGTTGTTTAGCCAGAGTGAAGAAATTGTCTTCTCCTGATAATGTAAATTGCCGTGATACCCAAGGTCGACATTCTACACCTTTACATTTGGCAGGTAATGAGTGAATCTAGATTTAGCTGGTGACATCTAAGATTATTTTATTCTTTTCATCATGTAGGTTCCAGGGATCAAACTCAGGTTGTTAGGCTTGGCAGCTGTGCCTTTCCCTGCTGAGCTATCGGTAAAGATTCATTTTTACTCTTGAGTAAAATATTTCCTCTAAGTAAACCTGAAAAACTCGAGTCCAATTATCTACCAGAGCTTTCATCCTGTGCTAGCATGTGTGTTTGTACAGAGCCTTTGTGTTTATACATGAAGCTGTTAGCCAAACTTCACTTCCTTTGGCACTGATTTACATGCAGTAAGAACGGTTGCCAAGTGTAGTGGTGCAAGCTTTTAATCCCAGCAGAAGCAGGCAGATCTGTGTGAGTACGAGGGTAGCCTGGTCTACATAGTGAGCCCAGGACAGCCAGAGCTACATAGTGAGACCAGTAAGACAGTTGAAATAGGCTCTGCGAATCACTCTAAAATTTGGAATCCTTTCTTTGAGGTCACTGCATTGATTCATGTTTGAACAGAGTTATGAAAAACTTGCCTGTATAAACCAGCCTTCTTCATAGAAGACTATAAAGTTTTCATTTTCTAATGATAGCTAAGTGTAAGCTGAAAAACATCAATGTCTTCCACCATGTAGGTTCTGGGAATCAAATTTAGATTATCATGCCTGGCAGCAAGTACCCTAACCCACTGAGCCATCTCATCAACCCCAACTATTGGTGTGTGGCAGGTCCTTCTTTGGACCTCCTACTCCCCAGTAATGACCTACTAATGAATTATGAAAGCTCAGTGAGAGACTGTGCTCAAATAGTCAGGTGGGGGATCTTTGAGGAGCCTCAGTGGGTAAAGGCATTTATCACAGAAGCTTGACAAACTGAATTCCATGTCTAGGACCCACATAGTAAAAGGAGAGAGTGACTCCCACAAGTTTTCTGACTTGTGGTGTACACTACAAGCATGCACAGACAATAAATAGTATACGGCAGGTTTTTGTTTTTGTTGTTGCTGTTTTTCAGTAGAAAATTGTTGGGCCTGGTAGTACAGGCCTTTAATCCCTGTCCTTGGGAGGCAAAGGGGGGAGATGGATCTCTGAGTTACAAGCCAACCTGATCTAAACAGTTCTGGGACAGCCGGGCTACATGGAGAAGCCATGTCTTGGGAGGCAGGGGCAGAGAGCAATAGGGGAAAATACTGTATTTACCTCTGACTTCCACCCTCACCCACATATACACACAAATACTATACCTTGTGACAATGTTAATGCTTTATATATTTCAAAGAGATGACTGATATGTGTATTAGTAGACATGATGAAACATTTAAAACCATTATCATTATTTTTATATTGGGAAAAATGACAAATTTACTTCATCTATGACTGAGATACTTTGCCATAAGAAAACTCTGATTTAGCTGACATGATACAGGTTATGTTGTGCTTCAGAGTACTGAGTTTTCCCCTTTGGTCTTAATAGTGCTGAGGTCATGCTGGAGAGATGGCTCAGCAGTTAAGAGCACTGGCTGCTCTTCCTGGGGTCCTGAGTTCATAATGAGATCTGGTGCCCTCTTCTGGCCTACATGTATCTGTATACGTAATAAATAAATAAATCTTAAAAAGAGCGCACCACCACACCCAACTTAAAAAAAAAAATAGTGCTGAGGTCACTCTAGCATTTGTCTCCTAAGCATTCTCCTCAGGCTGAAGCATTTCTACAACCTCCTGAGGAAGGATGCCTCCTGCTGTGCAGCTAGATGATTGAGTGCCTGTGATTTTTAGCCCTTGGATCACACACCTGAGCTTGGGACGTTGTATGTAACAACCGTGAAGGCAGGGCCTTTGGTGGGGAAAAAGTGCTAATGGAAGCTGTAATGTGGCCAATTGAGACACACAGTTTCCCTTTAGTCCATTCATCTTTCCTGGCAAGTGTTCATTGCCACTAGTCATTGATCTGGCTCAAGGCCTCTGGTTTCTGCCACACCATCCATAATGGGCTCTCATTGGGCTCCTCTTGATATCCTGTTGTCCTGTGTTATAGAGATCCTACTGTTGGGACATAGGGAAGTTTTAAATGGATAGAGGAAGATCTTTCTGTAATTTGCTGGGCCTATGAAACCAAAAGCCTCTAACATTTTAGACCACAAGATAAAATACTAATAATTTCAGATTTATATAAAATTTAGTAATATCTGTTTAAAAACATATAGCTATATGGGTAACTGTGATTTTTCTACATTTATAACTGAAAGTAATGTTACTTCTTTCCTGAATTAGCTGGTTACAATAATTTGGAAGTTGCAGAGTATTTATTGCAACATGGAGCTGATGTGAATGCCCAAGACAAAGGAGGGCTCATTCCTTTACATAATGCAGCATCATACGGGGTAAGTTCTTCTGAGTTACCTTTAAAAATTCATGTAATTTTTCAAAGTGAATATCAGTATCACAGTTTACATGGAATTTGGTGTGACTTATTTCACAAAGAATTAAATAGGAACTTAAATAACATAGAAGTTTTAGTTCTTAATCTGTTACAGGCAAGTTGTGTGACATGGCAATATATTTGTCATTCATTGTAGTATCCTTGGCACCTGTTTCTTATTTTTGATGAAATGCTGATTTGTGTATGTGTGTCCAGAAAACTCCGTAGATTTCATAGAAATTGTTTTAAAGATTCAGATACATTGTTACAGATTTCCAATAACCCTGAAGATTTGGGTCAGCATTGACCATTGCCAGTGGTCTAGTTAGAATAACTGAGAAGGCTGCTAGTTTGTAAATTTATATTAACCAGTTATAACACAAGAATTAGTTAGAAATCATTGAAGCTGCTTTTTAGTTTATTTTCCTATGTCAGATTCTGAACTGTAATTCTTAAGCAACTACCCATAAGTTACAATGCTGAGAAGAAATAGCTTTACATTTCATTTCCGGAATAAGTTTGAGAATCAGAAAGTAGGTACAAAACCAGGTTTTGTTTTATTTTGTTTTGTTTTGAGACAGGAACTTTCTACATAGCACTGGCTGTCCTAGAACTCACCATGTAGACCAGGCTGGCCTCAAACTCACAGAGATCTACCTGCCTCCCAAGTGCTAGGGTCAAATGTGTGTGCTTCCACACCCACTCAGAACCAGTTTCTTTCTTTCTTCTTCTTTTTTTTTTGTTTTGTTTTGTTTTTGTGCTTTTTTTTTGTTTGTTTTTGTTTTGTTTTTCAAGACAGAGTTTCTCTGTATTGCTTTTGAGGTTGTCCTGGAACTCATTCTGTAGACCAGGCTGATCTCAAACTCACAGAGATCCGCCTGCCTCTGCCTCCCGAGTGCTGGAATTAAAGGCATGCGCTACCAACACCCTGCCAGAGCCAGTTTTTTAAAAAGTAAAATGCCATAAAACGTTTCCAACTGTAACAGGAATATTTTCTTTTACAGCATGTAGACGTAGCAGCTTTACTGATAAAGTACAATGCGTGTGTCAATGCCACGGACAAATGGGCTTTCACACCGTTACATGAAGCAGCCCAAAAGGGACGGACACAGCTTTGTGCTTTATTGTTGGCCCATGGAGCTGATCCTACTCTTAAAAATCAAGAAGGACAAACACCTTTAGATTTAGTTTCAGTAAGTGATGGGCTCTTTGAAAACTCAGAAAGTTCACATGACATGCATAAAATGTCTGCATAGTGAATATGGTTTTAGCCCAAATTTAAATTTAGGAATCCTTTGGTGTTGGGATAAGTAGATAAGTTAGTAGTCAGTTACTATGTATATACTAAGTACTTTGGATGTGGGGAAAATAACAGTAGTTGGGAAACAAAACAGGCCTGGGCCCTCTGTAAATACTGTTGTAGTACATGATATTATAGACTGAAGACCAGACCAAGCTGGTAAAGGCGCTTGCTGTCAGACCTAACATCTGAGTTTAATCCCAGGACCCACCTGGTAGAAGAAAGAACTGCCTCCCACAAGTTGTCTTCTGATCTCCACATGTACACCTTGGCAGACATGCACCCATACACATACATGTGCACAAAATAAATAAAGTGGATGCTTAAACTTTTTTTTTTAAGGTTTATAAAAAATGTTTTTTTTTCCAATCTTTTTCCATGGGCATTCATGTAGGAGCCTCCTTTGTACTCCCAAGTCTGTGTCAGTCACTAGAACAGGAGTACTTTCTTACCTTTGCCATTGAGGTCATTTACCAGAGCAGTAAAATAGAAGGAAGGAAAATTTTGTCCTCCAGGGATCTTTTTTTTTTTTTTTTTTTTGGTTTTACGAGACAGGGTTTCTCTGTTTTGGAGGCTGTCGGTCCAGCCTGGCCTCAAACTCACAGAGATCCGCCTGCCTTTGCCTCCCGAGTGCTGGGATTAAAGGCATGCGCCACCAATGCCGGGTCCTCCAGGGATCTTTGAGACAGGATCTTTTATGTAGTCCTGGCTGGCCTGGAACTTGGTGTTTATCAAGCTGGCCTTGAAGTTTTTGTGTTTTTGGTTTTTTTTTTCAAGGTTGATTTATTTTTATGCATATGTATGTGTGTCTATGTGTTTATGATCCTCTGGGACTGGAGTTACAGGAGGTTGTAAACCATTTGGTGTGGGTGCCTGGAAACCGAATCAAACAAATGTTCTTAACTACTGAGCCAATCTTTTGCCTGCCTTCTAAGTGTTCTGGGATTACAGGCATGTTCCACCACACAATGTAAGAAATGTTTTGAAATGGGAAAAACGTGTCTTATATGGAGAGAGATTGTTCCAACCAATTGACCAGGAAACTGTTTGGCTGCATTCAGATTTAAAGAGATGTTCCCAAGCCATGTGTGTGCAAGGATTTCTTGGAAATGTCTCTTTGGTTCCAAACTGATTAAGAAGTAAGCATTTAGAATTCATTACACCCAAACATCGATATAATTAATGGCAAGGAAAATAAAAGACTCTAGAGAATGCATAGGGCCTAGGGAGATGGATCACTGAGGGAAGAACTTGTTGCACAGGTGTGAGAACCGGAGTTTGAATCTCCAGAACCAACATAAAATCTGGATACATGTTTGAACATGTGTGAGAGATAGGCCAGCTAACCTGGCATCACAGTGCTAATGAGACCATCTCAAACATAGCCAAAAGCGTGGACTAACACCCAGGAGTCCTAACCTTCACATGCATGGGTTTATGCGCTCATGCACACATACAAATTATACACATACCCACAAAGTCAAATTTTAAAGATGGTGTTTGAGGGAGGGAAAGCATCCGTGAACTTTAGACTGAAACAGGCCCAGCTTACTGCTCCAGCTCTACCATGCAAAGTTACAGTCCTCTAGCTGCCTCATTATCCTGTATAGTTTAGAAGCACCATCTGTAAGGGATGAAATATATCTGGTTAATGGAAATAAGCATTGTCATGCTATCTAAAGCCTGTAGATAGTTTCAGGTACCAAAATGTACCCAATAAATGGTCTTTTTTATAGATAAATAAATACTATATACAAACTGTAAGGTCAAGAGATGCACAAATTGAAGAGGAAGAAAAAGGTAAGGGTGTGGACATGATAAGTGACTAACCAAGAAAGCATCCCTGTTGATGATTTTTAGCATCGTTTTATATATTATTTTTTAATTGTTTATTGAGGAGAGGGGGCCCAAATGTGCTTCAGTATACCTGTAGATGTCAAAGGATAACTTGTGGGAGTCCATTCTCTCATTACACCATGTGGGTACCAGGGATCAAACTCAGGTCATGAGGCTTACTGGCAGCTACCTTACCACTGGACCATCTCTCCAGCCCGTTACTTAGTTTATTATTTTAGAATGGTAAAAATTGTATGTGATTAGTGAAGTGGATATAGCACTGAATTTAAAGACTTTTGCTTCTTAGCAGTTTGATTAAAGTTATATTTTACAAAAAAAGACAAATAAGGTTTTCTCAGTTTTGAGTAGTAAACAGTTTCCCAAAATCAGTTTTTTGTTTGTTTGTTTGTTTAATTATGTGTGACCTGGAAGAGTGTTTTGAATTATGTTTTGTCTTTAGTTAGCTAGGTATCAACCTGTTTATTTCACTCTTAAAATTTTCTAGTATTTCTCAGTGTTGTATGATAATAGACCCAATGTGAGTTTGCTAAGTTTGCAGTCCTATTTTTATTAGGCATAGGAGAATTGTAAACCTTGTTTATGACAGATTTCACCTCCTTGAAATGTGTTCTAGGCAGATGATGTCAGCGCTCTCTTGACAGCAGCCATGCCCCCTTCTGCTCTGCCCTCTTGCTACAAACCTCAAGTGCTCAATGGTGGGAGAAGCCCTGGGGCCACCGCAGATGCGCTGTCTTCAGGTCCATCCAGCCCTTCAAGCCTCTCTGCAGCCAGCAGTCTTGACAACTTATCTGGGAGTTTTTCTGAACTGTCCTCAGTAGTTAGTTCAAGTACAACAGAAGGTGCTGCCAGTTTGGAAAGAAAAGAAGGTGAGAAATTCTGTAAAAATTATAGCTCATTGTAGCTCCATGTTTGTCATTTAGAGTGGTAGGAAATACAAATCCTTTAAATCTTAAATACAACTCTTTATATGAAATAAACTAAAATAGCCTGAAAGTATTCATATTTAATTTTCTTCTATTAATAATGTAAATAGAATTCCTGTAGAAATTCTATTCAAGTTGAAAGTTGGTGAACGTGGTACTACTGACCTATTGTTTGTTTGTTTATTGTTTGCTTTTATGTGTGTGTGCATGTGTGTGTGCAAACTCGTGCCTTGATTTGTGTGTGTGGAGATCAGAGGACAACTTTAAAAAGTGGGTTCTTTCCTTCCCCTTTAAGTGGGCTCCAGGTATTGAATTCAGGTTGCCATGTTTGCACAGCAGGTACCTTTACTTTACCCACTAAGTCATCTCCCCAGCCCTCACCCATCCTTTAGATGTCAATTTTTACTAGTCAAATTCATCTCACTCTATACAATATCATAAAACTTTTCTTAATAAATTTTGGTTTTTACGAGACAGGGTTTCTCTGTATTGTTTTGGAGGCTGTCGGTCCAGCCCAGCCTCGAACTCACAGAGATCCGCCTGCCTCTGCCTCCCGAGTGCTGGGATTAAAGGCGTGCGCCACCACCACCCGGCTCTTGTTTTATTTTTCAAGACAGGGTTTCTCTGTGTAGCTTTTGGAGCCTGGCCTGGAACTCACTTTGTAGACCAGGCTAGTCTCGAACTCACAGAGATCTGTCTGCTTTTGCCTCCTGAGTGCTGGGGTTAAAGGTGTGCGTCACCACTGCCCAGCAGAAGGCTGGTTTTTAATTTATTTTAAAGATAAAAGATGAGGCTAAAATTAAAATTTTAAATGAAAATAAAATGAGAAATGTTTAAACTTGAGAAAGCCCACTGCTTAACTGTTTAAGCTGATCATGATGACACACACCCAGACAAGTGGATTTCTGAGTTTAAGGCCAGCCTGCTCTACATAGTGCATTCCAGGCTAGCTAGGGCTATACAGTGAGACCAACCCCCCCTCAAAAAAAAAGTTTATAGAATTCTTGTTGTTAGTTTTAGATTTTGGTATGTCATAAGTGGCTGTTGGTTTTTTGCTTCTTTGATACATTCTTCACACATATTCTGTTCTTGCACAACAGAACTTTTATATTTACAGTGTTGCTATACATTATTCTGATGTGAAATTTTGTTTGGGACTTTTTCCTCCTAGACCCAGGACTGGATTTTAGTATAACTCAGTTCATAAGGAATCTTGGGCTTGAGCACTTAATGGATATATTTGAACGAGAACAGGTGAGTAAATGAATTGTATTGTTTGGTTTAGTGTTTCATAGAAACTCAAACTCTGGAAAATGCTTGAAATTTACTTAAACCTTATAAGCTATTGGGAAATGTTTTTATAGAGCGTTCTGCATGCTAAATGTACTATGTACAAGTGTCTGCCTCTCTGAAAGTGTTAAGAGACTGGAAATCGGTCACTTCCTGATTTGGCTTAATTTTGGAGTCTCACTTAGTTCATGATATCTAAAAATTGATATGTAGTAATAGAACATCCTCCTTAATAACATGGTTACCGTATTCAGTCCTTGAATTAAGTTATCTTTGAGCTGTTTTCAGTTCTGGTATTTCAATCATTATCCACTCTAAAGCCTGACATTCTGCTATGTACCATGGACAGAAATGTGAATATGCCAGTTGTATATTTGAGCTTTTCTGTCTGAGTAGCCCAGTTTAAAGTATTCCATCAGAATACATGTACTTATCCTTTTTAAGATTTACTTAAACAACAACAAAAAAAATAAGATTTACTTAATGCGTATGAGTGTTTTGCTTGCATGTATGTATGCCACATGCATGCTTGGTGCCCATGGAGGTAGGAAGAGGGTGTCAGATCCCCTGGAACTGGAATTATGGATGCTTGAAAGTCACCATGTGGTACTGGAAACTGAACCCCAGTAGTCCTCTGAAAGAGCAACAAGTACTCTAAACGAGCTGTCTCTCTAGCCCTACCTGTTCTTATTTTATTGTCACTGCTGGTGTGATTGTTAGAAATTATAATTACTGTAGGTTTGAACCTGCAGTGACCTGTAGTCTTGTTATGCAGCCAGAGCAAAAGCATGAAAAGTTCCAGTCTGACAAAGATTTTAGTAAATTTAAAGATGGAAAGGATAATTGTTAGCTGGACTTATTAGGAGTGGCTTTGTAGAAGTTGTATAAATGAAACAGGATTAATGGCTTCAATTTCATGAAGCAGAAATGATTTATTTTAGGTAAGAGTTTGAACAGTGATGCAGAGGCACCGCTTAGCATAGTCTACATCCTGGAGGAACCATGCTTCAAGGCACTGTGTAAAGGCTTAGATATAGACCAATGATGAGAAGATACAGTGGAAAGATGAAATTTAAAATAACATCTATGACTCAACATATTTTGCTCCAACTTTTTGAATTTAACAAATGATTTATTTTCCTATCTAAACTATTCAAAATAATAAGAAATGAAGCTGTCAAGGAGTCCTGGGTTTGATTCCTATCAACTGTAACTCCAGTTGTGTGTGGTGGTGCCCTCTTGTGGCTGTCAAGGGTAATGCATGCACAAACATGCAAAACATTCATATACATAAAATATATAGCTTAATAAAAATGTGAAATAAATGATTGTTATGAGAATATATAAGTGTCTACCAAATGAGCAAGCATTCTGAATATTTCATTCTCTTTCATAAGATCACCTTGGATGTGCTAGTTGAGATGGGGCACAAGGAGCTAAAAGAGATTGGGATCAATGCTTATGGACATCGACACAAGTTAATTAAAGGGGTTGAAAGACTGATTTCTGGACAACAAGGTATTTCATTTTGATACTTGGTTGACAGTTAGCTGTTTATATAAAGATAGCCTCTGTCTAACATTTTAGAAGTCTATGACAGACTCTTTAGTAAGGAGACCATTAATAGGGTTTTGAACACAAATAAGGCCTCTACTGATAGTTAGAACTTCCTGACACTACTAATGTTAATTATATGACCCAAAGTAAAATTTCTTGACCTGTGCAGAAATTTTAGAATTTTTTAGTTCCTGGGAAATGAGAAGGTATAATGAATGAAGTTACTCTAGCTCTAAAGTGTTATAATTTTAGAAGATCTGGAACATGGGTGTGTCTTTCTTAGGTTACCATGCTAGGTAATGATTAGGTATTAGACAGTAAGATACATAATGTTTTGGGGTCTGGAGAGATGACTCGGTGGTTAAGAGAACTGACTGTTATTCCAGAGGACCCAGGTTCAATTCCCAGCACCCACATGGCAACTCACAACTATCTATAACTCCAGTTCTAGAGGATCTGGCACGCTTACACAGGCATACATGCAGTGCACATAAAATAAAAGTAAAAAATCTTTTTTAAAAAGGAATGATGGGGGGGGTGATGGCGCACACCTTTAATCCCAGCACTCAGGAGGCAGAGGCAGGCAGATCTCTGTGAGTTCGACGATGGTCTGGTCTACAAGAGCTAGTTCTAGACAGCCTCCAGAGAAACCCTGTCTCGAAAAACCAAAAAAGGGAAGATTTTCATAATGTTTTAGCTGAAGGAAAATGCAAATTACATCACTCAACAGGTGTTAACATGTGTCTGTATCAGAACTAGGTAAAAAAAAAAAAAGTGAATTATTTTGAGTCAAAACCACATTTTTTACTTTACCACTAAATTAAGATGGTGATTTACTCTGATGCACACACATCACTGACAGGAACATAAGCTAGTGCAGCTACTAAGGATATAGTAAAACTAAATAAAATTGTGATCCAACATTACTGCCCCTGAGTATATATTTAAAGGACTCTAAACCAGCATACCACAGAGATAGTTACATATTGATGTTTATAGCTACACAATTCACAAGAACTAGGAAAAGGAGCCAGCTTAGATGTCCATCATCAGATGAACGTATATAGAAGAATGTGGTACATGTACACAATTCTATTCAGCTGTAGTGGATGAAATTATGATATTTTCAGTAAATAGCTCTCTTTAAAGGTCATTAAGTTAAATGAAAATAAGCCAGACTTGGATAAATAGCATTTTTCTCTCATGTGGAACCCAGATTTAAAAGTGTGCATGGAAGTAGAAAGGGAGTGTAAAGAAGGGGAAGAACAGGAGGGGTAAAGGGAATGTGTGTTATATAAAACAGAAAGGGAGCTGGGAGGTGTTGGCACACACCTTTAATTCCAGCACTTGGACGACAGAGTCTGGCGGGCGGATCTCTGAATTTGAGGCCATTCTAGTGTACAGAGTGAATTCTAGGACAGTCAGGGCTACATAGAAAAACCCTATCTTGAAAAAACAAACAAACCAAAAAAAAAAAAAAACCAGGAAAAACAGGGTTAGGGGGAGAGTAAAGTAGAGAGAGCAAGGGGGAACAGGAAATTTAAAACATCTTAAAATAAAGACTATACAACTAGGATTGAAGAACAATTTCTTTTTTTTTTTTTATTTTCCAGTTTAAATTTAGATAAGAAACAAGGTTGCTTCACAAGTCAGTTCCAGGTCCCTCTCCCTTTGCATCCCCTCCTCCCGTGCCCTCCCCCCAGAAGAACAATTTCTATTTACAAAAATGAATAGGATTTTTAGAGGGGAAGAATATGTGCTGTCCAGGATGGGATTGGATATTTTTATTTTGTATGTATGTGTGAGTCCCAAAGGAAGCCAGAAGAGGGTGCCAGGTACTCTGGAACAGCAGGTACATACAGTTGTTAGCCATTGCCTGTGGGTTCTGGGAACCAGGTCCTGGTAGAATGAGTGGACAGTGCTCTTAAACACCAAGCCAGCTCTCCAGCACCTGCGTTCACTTCTTGGAAGAAGAAGAAAAAACAAAGACCACTCAAAGTTGAGGTCATTTACACTAAGAAATCCTTTAACCCTGGAGAAACTGGGTCTCAGTATTTAAAATATGAAGTTATTCTGGGCTGTGACTAGTATAATGACAACATGTCAAATGAAAGAAAAACCCACAACTCCCTCATGTCCTTAGTCCCAGCACTTAGAGGAGACAGAGGCAGGAGGATCTGTGCATTTGAGGCCAGCCTAATCTGCCTAACAAGTTTCAGGACTACATAGAATAAGACCTGCCAGCGTGACTGCTAAACTAATAATGTCTTTCCACCTATGATAGGATACTGGGGTACCTAGCCTGTGTGCCAGCAGTTGTACTAGACACCTGGTTTTAGGAAAGAGCTGAGTAAAAACAAAAAGCAGTAGTGTTTGTCCAGGTAGGTGCTTTCTTAATTGTTAGCGCTGCATTCAGTGATAAAAATAGATCTACTGTCTCCAGGTAGCAGAAGAAAGTACCTCAGTGCTACTTAGGACTTCTTGTGACTCCGATATGTTCACTATAGTTGAATGGGAACCTTTTTTTATTTTTTCCATGATGGAGAAACTTGTCTTAAGGCACAGTGGCTGTTCTTGTCTAATGTCAAAGTCACTGTTCTTCATAAAGTTGCCGTCTTGCAAAACTGAATTGGTTGCTGTCTGTAAGGTCCTCTGACGGTCTGCTCTTGGTGACTGAAAGCCTTTTCTGACCTTTCAGTACTGGGTTACAGGTCACTAAATCAAGTGTTTGTCATAGTCTTCTTGGAGGAAGGGTGCTTTTTTTGGTTTGGGGAGGTTTGGTTTTTGACTTTCATGGGGATATCATTTTTGTTTTGTGTTGTTCTGTTTTTCTGAGGCAGAGTTTCACTGGGCTGACCCCAAACTCAAGGAATCCTCTTACCTTCCTGCTTGCTGGGACTATAAGGGTGTGTCACTGTACCTGGCCATCTTAGTATTCTGTAGAATAGTCTCCATATGGGCCCCATACTTGTACAGGCATAATTAAGTCTCTGCAGTCTGCCTTGACAAGGGTCTAGAGAGATGACTCAACACTGGCTGCCCCTCCAGAGGACCTGTGTTCAGTTCCCAGCACTGGCATAGTGGCTCACAACTAACTGTCCATCCAGTTCAAGAGACCCAACACCCTCATCCTCTGCAGACACCAAGCATGACATGGTGCACAGACACATATGGAGGCAAAACACTCATATACATAGAAATTTTTAAATAAAAATAGGAAGCATGGCAAATTAATTGTAGAAGTAGTCAGGTAGCAAACTTCATGAACTAAAAGAATAGTTCTTAATTGCCTGAGGCTGTTCAAGTCTCTATCATAATTCTCCCTCGTAGTTACAGAAAGTAAAAGGATTATTTTATTAAAATAAAAGGCTGAACAGCTACTAACGTGAGTAATTTGAAAAGAAAGTGTTTATAAGCTCATTAGCAATAAAAGAAAAGGGAAAGGGGATTTTTATAAATAGTCCCTAAAACCACTCTAACCTGTCAGGTTAAAAAATAGTTACTTAAGGGGGCTGGGGAAATAATAACTCAGGGTTTGAGAGCATTGCTGCTCTTCTAGAGGACGCAGGCTCAATTCCCAGCACCCACATGGCAGCTCTCAACTGTTCCAGGGAACATGACGCCCTCACACAGACATACACACAGGCAAAACACCAATGCACATAAAAATAAATAAATCTTTAAAAAAAATAGTCACTTAAACTGGACGTGGTGGCCCACATCTTTAATCCTAGAGTGCAGGAGGCAGAGGCAGGCGGATTCCTGTGAGTTTGAGGCCAGCCTGGTCTACAAAGCGAATTCCAGGAAGTGGGCAGGGGTGTACTTGAGGGGCTGGAGAGATGGCTCAGCAGGTAAGAGTGGTGTAATGATTTTACAGAAGATGAGGGTTCAGGTCCTGTACCCACATAGCTACTTGCTTGCAGCTCTCTATAATTCTAGCTCCAGCAGGTCCTTCCTGGGCCTCTTAAGGCATTCATGTGGTACATATACATACATGCAGACAAGTATACTCGCAAAATAAAATGAGTCTTAAAAATTTAGTGTGCAGAGGGAGAGCTACCGAAGTGGCTTAGTGAGCACTTGTTGCCCGATTATGAGAACCAGAGTTCAGATCTCAGAACACACATAGCAATTAACAACCTCTGAGGAATCTGATGCTGACTTCTGGACTCTGTATATAGGTGCATTGAATATAACATGCTATCATGGTTTTGATCCAGTAAAAGAAAAAGGTCATTGGTAGAAAAAACTAGTGCAGTCCAAATGAAGCCTATATTAGTAAGTTCTGTACCTGTCTGCACTTTCTGCATACCTATAAATCTAAATTATTATGAAATTAAGATTTTGGGGAAATGGTAGTGTTGAATAAATCATGTGTTGTTTTGGGTGGTTAGGTTGGATTGTTTTATTGGCAGTTTTTACTTCTAAATTTTATTTCATAGGTCTTAATCCATATTTAACTCTAAACAACTCTGGTAGTGGAACAATTCTCATAGATCTGTCTCCTGATGATAAAGAATTTCAATCTGTGGAGGAAGAGGTATGTTCATCACGCTTAAGAAAATGGATAATATGGATCTAACCATTCGTGTTGTTGATTCAATTGCTGTCCTTTTTTGTTTGTTTGTTTGTTTGTTTTGGGTTGGGTTTTTGTCCCTCTTTTCACACCCTGGAGAATTTGGAAGTATTTACAATGCATTTGGTTTTTTCCCCCACTCTTTTTTTCTTTTTTAATTTTTATTTTTATGTTGCATGGGTGTTTGGCCTACATGTATGTTTGTGTGAAGGTGTCAGATCATGGAGTTACAGACAGTTGTGAGATACCATATAGGTGCTGAGACTTGAACCTGGGTCCTGGAAGAGCAGTCACTGCTCTTAACCAATCAGCCATCTCTCCAGCCCACTACAATGAATTTCTTTTTTGTTTTGTTTTCGTTTTGTTTTTGTTTTTTTTTGTTTTGTTTTGTTTTTACGAGACAGGGTTTCTCTGTATCGTTTTGGAGGCTGTCGGTCCAGCCCAGCCTTGAACTCACAGCGATCCGCCTGCCTCTGCCTCCAGAGTGCTGGGATTAAAGGCGTGCGCCGCCGCCGCCGCCGCCGCCGCCGCCACCACCACCACCACCACCCGGCTTACAATAAATTTCTTAATTAACCTTAGTTTTAGATACTTGAATCACTAACTACTTCAATTAATGTGGAACCAGAATTCTGTTGGAGAAGATCTCTGTCATTTGAAATTTTTATGAAGGCAATTACAAAGTAAGGAATCTCTGGTTTCTTTTTAAAGATTTCTTCAGTCCACTGAAACCTTGAAGAGTTAGCCTCCTTTGTGATTTTTTTTTTCAAAGCAATATGTAGCCTTAGCTGTCCTGGTTTTCACTCTCTAGACCAAGCTGGCCTTAAACTCAGAGATCCATCTACCTCTGATTTCCCAGTGCTTAGATTAAATGTGTATGCTATCACACCCTGCTGAAGAGTCTTCTTTATACTATCATGTCCATGTGCCTCATCTGTTTGAATTAAGCACAGATAGAAAACTGAGTGAGATTTAGTTCTAAAGATCATACTCCCAAGAAAATATATATTGTGCTTTATTAGTCTAACAGCACAAATAGACCATTCCTTTTATGGTTAGCATATTTTATCTTAGTTTACATTATATAACTTTTCACCTATAAATATGTTTTCAAGATGCTTAGTAGTCATTTCTAGAACATAGTACTCATGGTAATCCCAACCCTCAAGAGGCAGGGGCAGGCACATGTCTGAGTTCAAGGCCAGCCTGATCTATAGAGTGAGTTTCAGAACAGCCAAAACTACACAGAGAAAACCTGTCTCAGAAGAAGAAAAAGATAGTACTCACGAGTTTATAGAATTTATGTCCTTTCAAGAAAAATATTAAAACCTATCTTGAAATCTCAAAAACTAGGATCAGGGTCAGGCAGTGGTGGCACACGCCTTTAATCCGAGCGCTCAGGAAGCAGAAGCAGGCAGATATCTGTGAGTTCGAGACCAGCCTGGTCTACAAGAGTGAGTTCCAGGACAGCCTCCAAAGCCACAGAGAAATCCTGTCTCCAAAAAACAAAAAACTAGGATCAAATTAATCAAAACCATGTTCCACAAGTCAGAATGGCAAAACTAATTCTTGTTTTAAATTCTTTTCACCAGATGCAAAGTACTGTCCGAGAGCACAGAGATGGAGGTCATGCAGGTGGCATCTTCAACAGATACAATATTCTCAAGGTAACAAACGAGTAAAAATAAAGTTTCCCAAGACTTACTTTCCACAGCCCAAAGCCTCAAGTAGTTTTGATAAGAACATAGTGATCTTTGACATGGCTTCAATGTCAGCACTTGGGAGGCAGACAGAGGCTGATCTCTAGTTTGAGGCCAGCCTGGTCTACAGAGCAAGTTCCATGACAACCAGGACTACCCAAAGAAATCCTATCTTGAAACAGATGAATAAATAAAAAACTTACCGAACAGTGTCAGTATGCCCCGAACTGAATGCAACACTAAAGTTTAGTTGGTTTGCTTGATTGTATCTGCTACAATCAGATTATTCAGGGAAAGGAGCACTCATTTAAGGTGTGCGAAACAGGAAACCAGGAGAAGCTGGTTCAAATCGAAAAACATGCTGTTTCCTCCTCCTTAAAGGTGTTTCAATACAACATTTGAGTGAGTGAGAGAGAGAGAGAGAGAGAGAGAGAGAGCGCTAAAATGATTTTAATTTTGTTCTATTTTATACATGAATAAGGTCAGTTGGTGCCATGTGTGGTCCTTGATTACATCTATTACCAGTATTTTGATTTTTTTTTCCCCCTAATACTAAAATCAGCTCTGATGTGTGCTCTTAGGGACCACAGAAGCTGAAGTATGTAGTGCTGGAAATGTCCATTTGACCATAGAAATACTGTAGTAGGAACTGGAAGGGATAGGAAGTGATAGGAAGGAAGGTAGGGATAATGTGTGGTGGGTGGCTATTTCAAATCTTGGTAATGTTTTTTTATTAATTTTATTTTATATGCATTGGTGCTTTGCCATGGGTGTTAGGTCCCCTGGAACTGGAATTACAGACAGTTGTGAGTTGCCATCTGGGTGCTGGGAATTGAATCCAGGTCCTCTGAAAGAGCAGTCAGTGCTCTTGTTGTGTGGTTTTTGTTTTGTTTTTATTTTGTGGGGGAGGGATTTAAGACAGGGTTTCTCTGTGGCTTTGGGGGCTGTCCTGGAACTAGCTCTTATAGACCAGGCTGTTCTCGAATTCACAGAGATCCGCCTGCCTCTGCCTCCCAAGTGCTAGGATTAAAGGTGTGCGCCACCACCGCCCGGCAACAATCAGTGCTCTTAACCACTGAGTCATCTCTCCAGCCCCCTTGTTTGTTTATTTTGAGTCTGATAGTCAGGAAAGCAGGGTGCTGTGTTCTTTCTCTTCTGTACAAAATTTAGCATGTCTGAGGGATTTCAGTGGCGACTTAGTGCTGACTTATTTTTTTGTTTTTGGATTTTAGATTCAGAAGGTTTGTAACAAGAAATTGTGGGAAAGATACACACACCGGAGAAAAGAAGTTTCTGAAGAAAACCATAACCATGCAAATGAAAGAATGTTATTTCATGGTAAGTTCTCACCTGTCCTCTCTGTGAGATTGGAGCTTTCATCGTCATTGTCATTATTGTCTTTTTTTCTATGTAGCCCTGGCTATCCTAGAACTCACTATATAGACCAGGCTGGCCTCAAACTCCCTGAGATCTGCCTGCCAAGTGCATGTATCACCACTGTCCAGCAACTTATTTATGTCTTCTCTTGGTTTTTTGTTTTGTTTTGTTTTTCGGGGGTTTCTCTGTATTGTTTTGGAGCCTGCCCTGGAGCTCACTCTGTAGACCAGGCTGGCCTCCAACTCACAGAGATTCTCCTGCCTCTTAAGTGCTGGGATTAAAGGCATGCGCCACCACTACCCGGTGAATCTCTGTGAGTTCGAGACCAAGCCTGGTCTACTGAGCGAGTTCCAGGACAGGCTCCAAAACAATACAGAGAAACCCTGTCTCGAAAAACCAAAAAAAAAAAAAAAAAAGGCGTGCACCACCAACGCCCAGCTTTATTTATGCCTTCTTAATAAAGATAACATTTGTGTTCATACTTTCAGTTTCTTTTGTGATAATGTGCCTTACAATGAACATTTTTGTAAATATACATGCATTGTTTGTACCTTTTATTTATACACCTGCAGGGTTAGGGTTAAGGTTAGAAGAAGGAACCAAATCTCATTACAGATGGTTGTGAGCTACCAGTTGCTGGGAATTGAACTCAGGGCCTCTGGAAGATCAGCCTGTACTCTTAATAAACAAACAAACAAAAAGAATTTAACATTCAGGTCTGGGTGTATAGCTCAGTGCTTGACTGACATGCACAGTCCTGGGTTTCATCCCCGTTCCTTAGAAAAGTTAACTTCCCAGCAGCATTAGTTTTGCTTTCTAAGTTGTTGTTGCCCGTCTTTTTGTATTTTAGGGTCTCCTTTTGTGAATGCAATTATCCATAAGGGCTTTGATGAAAGGCATGCATACATAGGTGGCATGTTTGGAGCTGGGATTTATTTTGCTGAAAACTCTTCCAAAAGCAATCAGTATGTGTATGGAATTGGAGGCGGCACTGGATGTCCAATTCACAAAGACAGATCGTGTTACATTTGCCACAGGTGAGAGATTCTTATTACTTATCTTGGGAATAATTAGATGAGAACTAACAATGGATTTAAGAAACCTGGAGGACAAAGCATATCTGACAGTGAAGGATCCAGATTAAACTTTGTCTCCTCACAAGTTAAAATAATAACTAATAATTACTGGAGAATCTAAATAAGCCAGCATGATTCTAAGCACTTAACATGTTTAACTCAAGACAGAGACAGAGACAATCTCACTCTATCCCAGGCTGTCTTAGAACTCACTATGTAACACAGGCTGCCTTCAAACCTCCTGCCTCTGCCTCCTGAGTGCTAGTATTCACTAGGCCCAGCTTGTTTTATTCTTACTGCTATTATTTTTCTTCTAAGTTTACGCTTATGTATTATATTGGAAAGTCCCTTCTGGGTATAAATTATCATTATTTCTGTTTTGGGTCACAAATCTATACTGTTTAGGGGACTAAAGAATTTTAAATTCTGTAAATTGATTTGTCTTCTATGTTATGATTATTACTAATAAGCAATGTTCTCTGACTTCCCCTAAGCTGTTGTTAGAACATAATACTTATTGCTTGTCTGGAAATGGTTATTAACAAAACTTTACTGTTCTGGGTTTGTGTGTGCAATCTGTTTTTAGAGTAAATTTTTCCTTTTCATGTTGTAGGCAACTGCTCTTTTGCCGAGTGACTTTAGGAAAGTCTTTCCTGCAGTTCAGTGCAATGAAAATGGCACACTCTCCTCCCGGCCATCACTCAGTCACTGGCCGGCCCAGTGTGAATGGCCTAGCGTTAGCTGAGTATGTGATTTACAGAGGAGAACAGGTACTCACTCCACTTTGTTTGTCTTCAACAGTGTGTGGCTCTTACATGGACAGGGCATGTTGCCTTAAATGGATACAGGGCGGGGAGTGGTGAGTGGTAATTTCAGGCTTAGAAATTTACAAACAAAATGATTGGTGTAGATTCTCAAAATTAAAAAAGGACCATTGGTATATCTATCTAACCTATTCAGAGTTTATCAATCATTACTGGTTCTTCTTCCCTTTTTTTTTTTCTGTACAATGTAGCAATGATTAATTCTTTATTGCTATCAGTGACAAAGACCTAATGAAAAGCAGGTATAGAGTCAGTGTTGATGGCAGAATTCCCACAGTTACTGACAGCAGACAAATGGACTTAAATCTCACCCTAGACCTGCCTCTGATGAGAATCCAAGCATTAGAGTCCCAGGGTGGGAATATTTACAGGAAAATCTCCAGATAGTTCTGGTTTGCAGAACTCTTCAAGGTTTAGAATGCGTATGCAAGGACACCTTAACATGCATTAAAGCACACCAACATTTGAACTAATCTTTCTTTTCCAGGCTTACCCTGAATATTTAATTACTTACCAGATTGTAAGGCCTGAAGGTATGGTTGATGGCTGAAACCAGTTCCACCAAACCTAATGTCCCGAAGCAGCTGATGGCCTCTTAAGTTTCACTCCTTGGCTGGAAAATTCATCCTGACCACAGGCCTGTGGCAAAAACGATAAAAATGTGAAAGAAGCTTAACATTCTGACTTGATAAAGCTTTAATAATGTACAGTGTTTCTAAGTATTTCCTGTTTTTCAGCACTTTAACAGATGCCATTCCAGGTTCAACTGGGTTTATCTGTACTAAATTATAAACAGTTAACTTGAATCTTTTATACGTTGTGTATTGATTCTCACAAAAATGGTAATGCCCTCAACAGAACTCATTTTACTAATCAGTACTGTGTTCTTTAAAACACAGCATTTACACTGAATACAGTTTCATTTGTAAAATGTAAATAAGAGCTTTTGTACTAGCCCAATATTTATTTACATTGCTTTGTACTATAAACTGTTCTAGAGCTGCAGCAGTTACAGAGTATTTTCATATGTGTTGCTCATCTGTGTTTCATCTGTCATCGCCTGAGTGATCGCTACATTTGATTCCAGAGGCTGCTCGGTTGCTGGTGGAGACTTAGTGGGGAAACAATGATTTATCAAATTCAATTTGCTGATGGAAGCATTTCTTTCTCATTTAAGAGTTTTATGAATACTCTTGGAATTTAATTTGTGGTGCCTTTGTATCTACAAGGCACACATTCCATAGAGCTCTGGTGTGAAGTTGTGGGGGCTGATGGCTAAAGAAGTGTCCTCGATGGCCTCAACCTCTGGTTCTTGCCTCAGAAAGCTTTCTGATGTTATGGGCATCAGAGCAAGCAAACTCCCCCAAGTTTTCAAGAGGCTTGACCCTGGCTTCTGAACACCGAGTGCTCTGATCATGGAATGTAAGTAGAAGTTAAGTTTCAGACAGGGGAAAGGCAATCCTGGACAATTCCCAATCAGTTCTAATTACCTTAAGTCTAAAAAGGGTGAATAACAAGTGGGAGTGGGTACTTTTCTTTTTAATTTTTTCATGATCTTATGGTTATATTTATAGCCAAGTCTATTTATCATGAGTAAACACAACCCAGAACCATAAATGTGAGTGTATCTGCCTAGTTAGAAATATGCCATCACAGGCTTATGTTCAGTATGGCAGCTGTGGAAGAAATGACTTTCCATGAAAGGCCACTCAGACTGTTCTCTAATGTAAGCCCTGTGCTCACCATCTTACACAGAGGCCTACCTTCCTGCAGTCCACAGAGAAGTCGAGGGGAGGTTTTTATCCACCTAAGTCTTTGTAAATGAGGACATCCTCTTCACTGTAACACCTTATCTTTGTGTGGCATTTATTTGTCTCTTAATTAACTGGTCCTTTATAGAAACTTGTATATATAATTGCTCGAAAATCAAATTTATTGTCCTATGAGTTAAGAGAAATGTATTTCTGGAGTTGTTCCTATGATGTTTAAGAGGTCAAAAAATCCTGACCTGGACATGGTTTTATACAGCTCTCTATTAATTACAAATACAATCCTAAAATCATTTCTTGAAACATAAAAGGAGCATGCCAAATTTTATAAAAGCTGGATTTTATAGGTAAAAGATAATGAAATGAATTAATGGAGTTTATATTTGCATACTTCTCAAAGTTTGACCTATATTACTCTATTCATGGATCTGGAATTGTTTCTCATATAAAATCATGGTCTAGTTATGATCTATGTTACTTCCTCTGACCCACTGCATATTTGTGTTGTTTTCCACTGTGATTAATGTGCTAGCATGGCAATGTTAACTGGGAGCTGGGAGTTTGGGGGTGTGGTTTAGTGCTTTGCATGAAATATTTTACTTTATAATGATGGAATTGCTTTTTCTTTTGCCTTGTGATTTTTTTTGTTGTTGTTCTGAAGTGAAATTTAATTTGTGTGTGTGTGTGTGTGTGTAGTGCTTTTCTGCCCATCTGAGTGTCTTATTTGTATCACATTCCATGCCCTCACTTAATTCTTAATAAACTGTTTACTTGCTTTCTGGATAGCATGGTAATTGCTGGAGTAGTATAAATGTATTGAATGGTCCTTGAGAAATTCATTGAGATTACAGTAAGTCATAATTGCAGGAAAACAGTGTAGTTTGAGTCTGATAGAATGCAGCATAAATGTAAAACATTGAGTGTTGTGGCCATTCTTACTCAGATACTTCCTGATAGAAGTAGAGTGTGTTTGGATGTTTACACCATCCAATGCAATGTAGTCCTAAAAATTCATTCATGAACATCAGTCTGCTTAACTTATAAAGAGAAATATATTTTTGTTTTCTATGTCATAAAAGCATTCTTGATAAGTTTCCAAATCTCAATCAGTGGTATTTTTTTCTCTAAAAGGAAAAAAAGTAGTGTATTTTATATTTCCATATGCTGATGACCTGTATGTAATCAGTCCTTGATGGTCCATAAGAAGAGAGTGATGGTACAAGTATCCCTACGTCTCACTTTAAGTCTGTGTAAGCTGCTTTATCTTCCTGCTTCATTTAAGATGATAGTGAAGTGTTTGCTTGCTGTTTCCTGAGCGTGCATGCCCACGTATGATGTGATCCAACTGTTTGCAGGTTGAGGCAAGAAAACATGCAAATAAATTTCCCAAAGCTCTTAACAATTAGTTCTCTTGACTGCCTTTTACCTCCTGTCTTGTCTGGTTAGAAGACTGCAGTGACAGAAAGCATTCGGTGACCCTGCCACCAGGTCTTTCAGACCAAGAATACTGCCTTTCACTGTCTCCTAAATCCCTGTATACAACCTACTTTTCTTGGCTTACTGGGTTGTGACCTGAAGTAGTTAGTACTATTAGTAGTTAGTAGTTAGCCTTCTCCACTTAGGTACTCACTCATAGTTGCTGTTCCCATAACTCAGATAGCAGGGAGCCCTCAGAATGGTGTGCCCGAATACCATAGAGCAGTCTATGCAAATGTGCTCTGCTAATGGGCGTTGACTTCACACTCCTTGTTCGCCCAGTGGAGGAGGCGGGGGAGTAAGGATGTCACTCAGTGGTAGAGCACTTACCAAGCAATAAGCAAGCCCACCCAGCACTATTGAATGAATGAATAAATAATGCAAATTTTAAAACATCTTTTATAAAATTGTTGCTCTGCAAAAGACTAGAAATTGTTGTAATTTGAGTGTGATAGCACAGTCCTCTAATCCCAGCACTGGAGAGGCAAAGACAGGCGTATCTCTGAGTTCAAAGTGAGTTCCAGGACAGTCAGGGTTACACAGAGAAACCCTGGGTGTGGGGGCATAATTTGAGAAGTTTAAGAACAAGTGTCCAGAACTGGGTGGTGTTGGTATACACCTTTAGCTCCAGCACTGAGTTGCCATCCTTCATGTATACATGAACACATTCATCCATCCCCATCACGTGTTCTCACAAAATGTCATTATTTCTTTGGGTTTCTGAAACAAGCCTTCTTAGCCCAGGGTACTCTCAAACTCAATTCTGTCTCAGCCTTTTTTTTTTTTAAGATTTATTTATTTATTACATATACAGTGTTCTGCCTACATGCCAGAAGAGGTCACCAGATTGAATTGTAGATGGTTGTGAGCCACCATGTGGTTGCTGGGAATTGAACTCAGGACCTCTGGAAGAGCAGTCAGTGCTCTTAACCTCTGAGCCATCTCTCCAGCCCCCTGTCTCAGCCTTCTTGGCACTAGGATTACAGGCCTGTGCTAAGCAAGTGAAATACAGGTATAAACCTAAAATAATAAAACACTGAGAAAATAAAAGGCAGCTCAGAAAAAGTAGAAGTCTACCACCCAAACCTTCATTCTCTCCACTACAGAGAGAGGAACATGGCCACAAACACTAGAGTGTGGCACTCCAATTGTAAGGGTGGCGATTGCCATCCTAACCTTAAAAGGAACCCAAGGTTATTAACGGGGTTTAAATCCAGTGTAGAGGGATTGATCTGAATGGCTAGCTTTTCCCAAAAAACCCATTGATGCTGTTAGTCATATACAGTAACCAGGAGTTCTATGGATAGGGCCTGGCTACTGCTGGGAACTTACCTACTTTGGGAATCAGAAAAGCAGAGAGACAATCTTGTCATACAATCTCACACAATAACATGTTATTTTGTTGCTCACCACTGTACACCACCAGCTTTGCAAATGGGTGCTAAGAGTACAGCATGCACCCTCCACCTCCCCAGCCCATTCATTCCTTCTAAAGTCTGCGCACCATCATATAGAGGGAGCACTTGCCAGTAAAGACACTGCAGCAGTCACATGCCTAGGCTACAACTAGTAATAGAAGTAAGCCAAGAAAGTTGACTGCCAAAAACAGTATCAATTGACCAAGAGGTGAAGAATAAGAGACTATGGAGTACTCATCTCTGAAACAGGGTGTCTGTGTTACACCTTCCCCCCAAGGCTCAGGGATCATCACAGAAAAGGGAGCCAAAATACTCCAAAGAGTCAGAAGTATGTCTGCAGCAGAGCTATTTACTGGATGTGGCAGGGCTGTTGCACACATAACAAGCTCAAGCCAACAGGAATCTTAAGTGGAGGTGGGAAGAGGGGATTGTGAAGGCCTTCCCTTGTCTGTGGAGCTGTTTGGCAAATGATGGCTGCTAGAAAAGGGGGAGAACCTTTTTACAGGGATCCAGATCCAAGCTGCAGTAGATGATCCCATACCTGTGCACATCTGGTCAAACACTAAATGGATTCTGGGTATTAGAACATGACTTCATAGCTGGGCATTGGTGGCGCATGCCTTTAATCCCAGCACTCAGGAGACAGAGGCAGGCGGATCTCTGTAAATTGGAAGCCAGCCTTCCAAGTTCCAAGAGCAAGTTTCAGGACAACCTACAAACGATACAGAGAAAGCCTGCCTCGGGGGAAAAAAAAGTGACTTCGAGAAGAAAGGGTGGGAATAGGGGAATCACTGGAGGAAGGAGGAATAGTGGTGGGGTGAATTGGAACCAAACGTGTATGAATATTCACTTTTAAAAATAATACCAATCGCCGGGCGTTGGTGGCGCACGCCTTTAATCCCAGCACTCGGGAGGCAGAGGCAGGCGGATCTCTGAGTTCGAGGCCAGGCTGGACCGACAGCCTCCAAAACAGAGAAACCCTGTCTCGTAAAACTAAAAAAAAAAATAATAATACCAATCAGTTATTCTGAAATCCACCTCCAGTTACATCAATACTATATGTCACCCAACTCCCTATACATTGGGCCAGATATTACATGTTAGAGATTAAATCCATCTTCAAGAGAGCTCAAGAATCAAATCAAAGCCCATGACTGGTAAGTGAAGTCCTTTCTGACACCCCTGTTGTCAGAAACTCACCGTAAATGTGCTATGTTCCTGGCACGGAGAAAGCCACTGACATGTACCCCTTTGAGATACAGGATGGGTAGCCTCTGGTTCTTGCAGTCTCAGCTCCTAATGAGGCTTTAAAGGAACCCCAGTTTCCTCATCCCAGCCAATTCACAGATTTACACTAAAGCTTACCTTCCAAGGAGGCCAACAGAAGGCAGTGCCTAGGCAGAAGAGTGCATCAGATTCCCCTGGACCTAAGAGTTAAGGGTGCCTGTAAGCCACCGTGTAGGTGCTGAGAATTGCACCTAGAAGCCTCTGGAAGGTCAGCCAGTGTTCTTTACTGCTGAGCCATCTCTCCAGATACACACACACACACACACACACACACACACACACACACACACCTGTATTTTAAACTGACCCAGGTAAGGTCAGGTGGACTCAGGATGAAGCTGTAATGGAAAGAACGACTCCTAGTGGCAATGTAGACCCCACAAGTTTGTTCACAGTGTTCTCTCTGTTGATGAAAAAGGAGAATGTTTCTATTCTGACCACTGAACAAAAGACTGGGTAGAAGTTCATATAAAAAGGCTAGCGTTTTCCAATGAAAGCAAATATAGTCTATTTGTTATTTATAGACAGGGATTAAAAAACTAATCCAATGTGTGTTTGTGCTATCCATTGGGAGTGAGATGGGTCCATCTGCGTGCTAAGAATTGTGAATGAGCAAGGATCCATGGCTCCGTGGGCAGGAAGGGCACTGGGAAGACCACCCGTCTGGATAATCAGACATTCACATTTCCCCACTGTTTTGCTCCATTGTATTCAAATGTGAGCAGCTGCTCTCCAGCCCTCCTTACAAAGCTCTTTATTGGACTTACTGAGGCATGATCCCAGCTGCTACGCTCCAACTGCCAGCCACTGAAGGGGTTTGGCTTGATGGTGTCTGGCAGCTTTGCCCCCAAGGAGATTTATGATCTGTGAAAGATAGTCAAATTAACACCCTGAGCATTCCTGATAGGATTAGAGGCCCGCATTTGCATGCTGCTGTGACAAACCACACGATCTTTTCCCAGCCTTGCTGGGTGGGGCTTGGGGAGGTAATTAAAAGTAGCTGGCCACACACCCCTCTCACGAATGGCCAGGCAAAGGGGCACCATGCATTTCCAGAAGGGTTATTTGAGACTGAACACCTTTTATTTGCTGCACCATCTGTGGAGGACTGAGGGCAGCCTCAGGTTTCAGTTCTCACCTTCCTTGATAGATAGGCTCTCTTTTCTGTTTCTCTGCTGCGTGCAACCAGACTAGCTAGCCCTTCAGCTTGCAGTCATTCTGCTACCTCCGTCTCTGCTCAGACTGTGCCTCCAGATTTTATATAGGTTCTAGGAATTCCAACTCAGGTCCTCATGTTATGTGGAAGATGCTTGTATCCATTAAACAATCTCCCCAGCCTATTATTATCTTTTTTGCCTTGTGAGGTGGGACCATGAATGGTCCCATCAACACACTTGAACCCCATGAAATAAAAGTAACACTCCAGCAAATAATGAAAGTAACATTACAGCAAGTAATGACGGCCATGGCAGAAGGGTGTGTGTGTGTGTGTGTGTGTGTGTGTGTGTGTCCAGAATTTCAAAGAAAGTGAAGCCAGAACCCAATGTGTTTGCTGGTCAGATGCTAAAATGCCTTCCACATTCTCCAGGGCTCTGTCTATAAAGAGGATCATCCTTTGCAAGCATAAGCTCCAATCACTTAATTGCATGTCACTGTATTACTACTACTACTACTGGATTTTTTTTAAGATTATTTATTGGGGTGGGATTCGAGACAGGGTTTCTCTGTGTAACAGCCCTGGCTGTCCTGGAACTTGCTTTGTAGACCAGGATGACCCCAACTCACAGAGATCCATCTGGCTCTACCTCCCAAGTGTTGGGACTACAGGTGTGCACCACCACTGCCCAGCTGGATTTTTGTTTTTTAAGTACATACTTGATTTTTATTTTCAGGGCTAGATTGTTTCTGTTATGAAATCTGTTTCAGTATACTTGAACTATGTATCTAATATGGATTCAGAAATGAATTTTAATTTTTCTGATTTAATTGGAAACTATGACCCAGGAATAGGAATCAATTATTTTTGTTGTCTTGTCCAATAGGAAGTTGCCTGATATCCACTGTAGAAAGGAGTTCTCAAGGCTGGCTGCCATTAGAATCAGTACCTATAATTCTTCCCCTAGGGATGGAGGGAGCTGAGGCAAGACTACCCTGTCTTCAGAGCCTGAGCTGCAGCATAAGACCCTCCTTTATCCTCTCCCACTGTGTGTGTGTGTGT